GGAGAGGGACGAGATCAGGCTGAGCGCTGACTGGGCCGGCACCGACAGGGCGGCGCTCGACCGCGCGCTGGCGCTCCGCATCAAGATTACCGAGGACGGCATCGTTGCTCTGCGCGGCAACACGAATGCCGTCGTCAAGGGGCTGGCGCCGACCAAGAGGCAGCTGAAGCTCGCGAGGAAGGAAAAGCAGGCGCAGACTGCTGGCGAAGCTGTCCTCGCTGAGGATGCCACGACTGAGGCTGAGGAGGCTACCGTGCTGGGACAGCACGTCTCGCCCGAGGAGGCGCGGGAGCTTGTCGCCACGTGGAATGCCGAGTGGAAGGACATTTCTCTCGCTGACCCTCTGCTCAAATTTGCCGTTCGTCCCCCCCCCCCCCCCCTATTTTCCCTGTACAGGAACGAAAACTGATAACAAACAGATCAACAAGCGTGTTTTCCAGCTGACGGGCCACCTGCTCCCCGACCCCAAGCTCGCACGCGCCCAGACAGTGCGTCACATTCTCAACCTAATCGTACGCCCGCCGCCGGCCAAAAAACTCGTCGAGACGCTGCAGCGCCGCGGCGAGCTGTTTGCGCTGCCCAACGTGTCAGTGTATGCGCGCCGCATCACGCCGATCGACCGCGAGAAGGAGGTCGGCCGATGGAAGCTGATCGAGAAGGAGCTGGCCAAAAGGGATCTGCCCGTGACGGGACACGCGGGACTGGAGAAACACCGCGAGGCGTCGTGGGTCCAGGGTGGTCTGTAAAGAGGGTGATGCTGCTGATGCTTGGCTGCCGCGGAGGTGGCTGGTTGTACGGATACATTGTACACTGTGTAACATATTGGGTCTGTCAACTCGTTGGGCCGACATTTGAACGTGAAGTCATTTGCCATATTTGCTGGTGCTTTGGATATCATGTTACGAAGCCAAGCACCCTCTTGCTTTGCACCCTTGGTTATTGTGCTAGAAACATGTCCCTGGTGCATCTATGTACTGGTGTGCAGAGCTGACTACTCTTCCTCCTCAGGCTCAGCCTCCTCTTCCTGCTGCTCTTCCTCATGGTGGCCATCTGGCACAGTCAGCAAAAGGTCACGTATCAAGGCAAGCCAACATACCGAACGAAAAGGCACCGTCGTTGTTCTGCAGCCTCTCAGCGAGGTTGATATCCGCGTCAACCGTCTCGCCCTCAACATTGTACAGCTTCGCACGCAGGATCGGCACGCCGTCGTCGCCTTCAAGCTCAAACGAGATGTCCTCGGCCGAGTTGGCGAAACCTTGTGTCTGTCAGCGAAATTCGTCCGTCTCTGCGCACGACGTCTCGTGAAATATATTCACACCAAACCGACCGTGTCGGGATATCATGACAGAAATGCGTAAAGCTGGAGGAAGAAAGGGACGAGAAGACGTACCGCCGCCACCCCACTCGAAAGCACCATTGTTGTTGCCGATGCAGTCGTTGAGATCAAACTCGGCCTCGACGAACTCGCCCTCGACGTTGGCGAGCTCGGCCCTGAGCATGTGGCCGTCTTCGACTGTGATGCCTTGGGCGCTCTCGTGGAAGGGCATTATGCTGGTATTCGGTTCGGGAGAAAGAGGAGCTTCAAAAAAAGGAGCAAACTATGGACCAACAAGTCTTAAGTTATGCTGTTCAGTTGATTGACTTCGCTATTTCTACACCTACAGACCGTTCTGGCTCCATCTTTTATATCACAGACATTCATCATCGACGAGAGGCCTCCCTCTGCCTCACACGCGCATGAAGCAGCCCTGACACGCGTTTGTTCCCCAGAGAAATGATACCTCCTGCCTTCGGACGAACGAGATTCACCCCGTGTCGTCTTGGCTGCGCAACGTGGGCGCTCTTCAGGCCTCCGCCAAGACGGTGCTGGGGCGTCTGCGGTGCCATATCCGCCATACCAAGACCGCTACAGATGTGGTTGCCCGTTTCTGCCGAGTGGCCGCGATGGCTTCGTCTCGGCGGAGGGGAGGGGGGGACAGGCGAGGATCTGGGGGGTTGTGGTGCTTGGCTGAGGGGAGTGCAGGTGATGACGCGGCCTGGTGGGTTTACAGTATATACTCGGGAGCGACTGGAGTGGAAGTTACGAGCAAGCAAACGAGGCATCTACTGATGTCTGCAGGTTGTGTTTCTGTCTGTCAAGGCTCGCGATGCTTCAATGTGTCGATGCTATGCCGCGACAACAGGTTCACAGCAGCCGTTTGGCGGGCAAAGTCTCTTGAAGAACAAATGGGCAACATCACTCTGACAGGCATGACACGCGCATGTCTCCTCCAAAGCCAAGTAGGCAGCCAAGCCAAGGCCGACAGCACGAAATTCGTGATACGTGTTGACTCGCCCCTCTGGGCCCTATATCAGGGGAAGGTCAGCTCCTGAGTGGCCCCCAGTTGTCTCGATCGCTGCCAGCGGAGGCCGCATGCATGTGCAACAGAGGGGCTGCTCGGGCAGGCGAGCCTATGACGGGCATCACGCGGGCCGCTGATGGCATGTCGTTGAATTGGCTTGAATCTGGGTCGACATTATGGTGTGGTGGGCTGAGAGAGGGAGCGTAGCGCGCGGTAAGGGCCGAAGCGCGGTGGAGTGGTTGGGCAGCTGATGGTGGTTGGAGTATTCTCTGAGTATTGACTTTTTGTCTCTTTCTCGAATGTCCATTACGATTTTGTTGATTTTACGCATGTTGTACCTCTCGGGCGTGTGAGCATTTGGGGATGTCGTGGGGTCCGCACTGAGAGTCATGGTGGGGGCGGGGTCGAGTGCCACGCCCGTTGTGTTGATGGATAGTCAAAGTCACTGGTAAGCTCAGCAGAATAGTCACACGAAGCAGCATATCAGTCAAGTTGTGTTTCTCGATTGATGGTATTTCAATTTCGTTTCTCATCATCCCCCATCCTCCTCATAAACGACACCCAATCTCCCTCAAGCTCAATGTAGGAACATGTTGTTTGGCGGTAATCTGGTTGTCGGAATGGAGGAGATGCTTATTTTCCGCAAGAGGCGCAAGAGCCTAGAAGTACAATCAATGTTAGCACTCTGCACACCGAAAGCCAAAGACAGCGGGAGAATAGATGAGAACATACAGCTAGAGCCGCAGTTGCAGGAGGAAGCGCCGGAGCAGCCGCAGTCACCCTTCATTTTGATGGTTGGTGTGGTGGTTGGTGGGAAAAAGGTAAGTGATTTGCTTTGTTGATTGAAGACTTGTTCGTTGATGCAGAAGAGAAAACAAGACGAAAGACCGGAAATCCTCCCACCCTTAAATAAAACAACCCCTCTCCCCATATCCCATCGGGAAAGACCACCCGCGCGATACGGTACGATGCCCACTGTGCGCGTGCCGTCCCTGCGCGAATACTGCGTCCACGAGCAAGCACCCAGACAGTCGCGAGGAAATGGTAGTGGCGACCGACCACCAGACCCACGCCTGTCCAATGGCGGCCGCTGCGTTCTTTGTGCGGCGACAGGAACCACTCGTCGCCCACTCATTCCTTCCCGATCCCACCAAGCTCTCCTCCCCCACCAGCGTCACGCGGCAGGGACGAGCAAAAGCGGGATGCTTGGTGGGAGGGGCTGATTGCATCCGCCAACACCATTGGCCGATGCGGACCCTTACCCCGCTAGGACCCTTCGAAGGGCGACAGCGCCCCCTCGATGTCCTCGCACTAGGTGACGTCGGGGGTTGATCATGTCCTCCATCTGCAGGTGCTACGCCCCCTGAGCGTTTTGTGCTGGATTCTTCACCAGTGATCCTGGGTCGACTAATTGGCCTCCCATCGGAGAAAGCGTTCCAGCCCCGGAAACTGTATGTTGCCATCTCGCCCTTGCGCCAGCTCTTCTCGATTTAGCTTTTTTGGTCGTCAACGACTGCCGAAGCAGGGCAATTATGCCGCGCTTCATCATCAGTGGCGGCGGCCTTTGTGCGTATGCCTTGGACTGACGTCGTGTTTCCTTTGCGATCATCGAATCAGACCGAGGCGAGAAAGAAAGAGCAAAGATCGGACGTCTGATTCCAGGTACCGAGTCATCGGAGACCACCGGACGTCCGCTGCCGGCTCGGTTGCTTGGACCCTCTGCGGACGTGTACCTGGCTGATGTACCTATTCTGCTGTACATCCGCAGCCAGCGTGTCGCCCGCTGCTACGCCATCGGCCTTTTACAGCGCCAGCGCATCATGGGGCCGAGCTAGGCTGTGCTGGGGTTGAGCTCTGCTGTAGTCGTCTGGAACGTGGGGCGGGCGACCGCATTGAGGGGAGCGCGTTGGGGTTAGGGAGTTGAGCTTGATGCGTGCGGCATCTTGTTGGGCGTGGTACAAGGTCCTTCGAGAAGCTGCGCTGGCCATCAAAGAAGCTTCTGGACCTATGTGCCTGTACCAGTATTGACTCTGAACTGAGTACCCGCTGATAAACGACCACACCGACTCACCGGATGTCGGCAGCCCGTTCCACGCATCCATTATGGTAAGGTAGTTCACCACAGATAACCGTAAAGCATCATAAGTAGAGAATATTCGACATGTATCATCAACGCAGTCTTGAATATCATACCAAGTTCGAAGCTACAAACCCTTTCCCCTTCGACTTGCCATCGAGTCATGTATCTGTGGTCTCCATCTCCCTCAGCGGTGTAACCCGTATTTGATCCCGCTTTGACGATTCCACAGCCCTTTGGCGATTAGTGTGAGAAATTCGGCAGCCATCGAAAATTTCAGCATGGTACACCTCTTAAACCGTTCTGCTAAGATGTGTTGACAACAATCGTCTATTCGGCTGACACCTCTGGCGGCGACGAATCTGTCTCCCTCTCGCCTGTCCACGTTTCTTCCGTGCCATCGTTGATTAATTCCTGCTGCTCCTCAACTATGGAGATCTCTCCGGGAAGCACGCCGAGACATTCCCTTAGGAAAAAACCGTATCTGAGATACGGGAGATGACCAGCGCGGATTGCGGCCGCAAAGGTGGCCAAGGACCAGATGAGCACTGGTATTACGCTTCCTATATCGCCTTCTTTCTAATTGGGGTTCAGATAAGCATACCAAGGCCTCACGTGTTCGATGTCGCCTCGATATGGAGGTGCTCGAGGGTGGCAGGAAGGAGCGACCCAATGTTGATGTGGTTCGCATGCCATGTCGGACCGATTTCACCTTCTATCCACAAAAAGACAGTCAAGGATCGAAGTACTGGAAAGTGACTGGGCAAGTTGAGAAGGAAGCCGTCGAAGACACTCTAGCTCGCAGTGTAATTGGCCTTTTGTTCCACTCTTAAGCTCACGAGCTTCGGGCACAGGCAAGTGTCCACCTCCCTGTCGACGAAGGCCTGAACTTCGTCTTCACTTTCATCGCGGAAGCTCACGGACTCGAGAGTGATGCTTAGACGTTCCAAGTCTTGGCAAGATTCGAGAACATCCAACAAAGCGTCGGCCCTGGTCGGAGTAGTCGTCATGTCGAGGGAGGTGAGTTGGGAAGCTTCTTGGGAAAGAGGCCTTGCAAAAATCGCACCCATGTGCCTGATGCTGCGAAGTCGCGCCAGCGTTGGCAGGAAAGCATGGCATTGAGGGCCCGTGGACGGCGCACTGCTCTGAAAATGCAGGCTTCCGAGTTCTGGGAGAAATTTTGAGCTTGTAAGATCATCGGCTAACAAACAGGCTATGACATGGTCAAGTTTCGGTGCATCGGCCATGGAATGTTCAGAGAGATCTTCGTGCTCCTCCGTCCTGTAGATCACTGACAGCGCTTTCACCTTTGGTACCAAGTAGAACAGGCTAGGGATGACAAAGGTCAAAGTCCACCACATAACTGGTTTGACGGCCGTCACAGTAGTTCAGGGCTTGAAGTGCTTCAAAGGTTGGTTCGTCGAGATCGCTGATCAACTCGCTGTGGTGAACAAAGTCGAAACCTGTAATAGCCTCGATGCGCTTCAAAACGTTTTGTAGGGTCGGGGAAATTTTGCCCGGGATTTCGCTTGTAGCGTCTGCCCCAGCCTTGAAGGTTGCTGGGACCTCGTCGTAGTCCTTGCGCAATGGGAAACGCTTGAACCTGCCGTAACCGACTCTGAGGGACTGGACTTTCTGACAATGAGAGGGCACTCTCAGAAGACTCCGCAAAAGACGCAACATCTGCAGATTGCTCTTCACAGTGATCTGTGAAAAGCGAAGTGGCTGAGAGATATCTCGAAGCCGTTTTGAGGTGAGGCAGAGATTTGCGGTGCAAGGTGTCGGCGCTTTTGGACCGTCCCGCCAAGTGTGTACGTCTGTATTGTTCCAGGGCTCAACAAGGTACTTCGCAATGAGGATGAGCACCTCGTTTGGAAGGCTCATAAGTGTTGATGTGGCGGGCATGTTGGCTACCCCCTCAAAGCAGTCTGTAATGTACCCCGATTTGTGACCCAGAGTTTGCATGAAGGTTGGGAAGGTCAAAACAAACCTTCAGTTTGTGTACCTCGAAAAAGCTCGCTATTCGAAGAGGACCGAAGTAGCTGGGGTTGTTGCTTATGTCGAGTAGCTTGTTGATCCACGTGTGGAGAAGATTATTTTCATTCTCAGACGGCTGCTTGTAGTTCGACCGGAACTGCCAAGAGTTGATGATGCGGTGCTCCTGGATATGTGCACAAGTGAAGAAAGAATCCAGTTCACTTACCTAGACTGCTTGAGAGGCGAGAAAAAGTCTGCGGCTTCTTCAACTAGGTACCTTAGGTACCTTGCCTAGGTGCCTTAGGTAGGTACCTACCTACCTAAGGCACCTAGGTAGGCATGTAAATCTAGACTCGTTCTTGCCTGATCAAACGAGAATTTCTAAAACTGGAAAGATATCCCTGTTCCTGCCTCACGGAGATGTGCAGATAACTCGTTTAGCTGCGACGTGCTTGCCAATCCCACCACATCAGACCTTTCTACATCAATTATTTTTTTGACGAACCAACCGCCTTCAGAGAACCAACTTCGTTAACTTACACATACCTCGAGAACGGCCAAGAAACGTCACGATCAGTCTCTTCAGCCCTGGACTTGTCTTCACAATGAAATCAGTGACACGATCAGTCTGATCAAAACAACATGACGCACAGTTCGGGCCTGCTGCGTCTTCCCAACGAGTTGATCATCCAGATTGCCAAGTTATTCCTACAGGATATTGATCCATTCGAAAAACAGAACGAAGCACCGACCACACCATTGCGCAACCTTTGCTTGACCTCCCGGCACCTGTTCGCCATCGCGCAGCCGGTGCTCGTTTCTTACATTACCCTTGAAGATGTGTATTCAACCATCCTGTTCATAAGAACATTGAAGGAGAAACAGCACCTCCGCAACTACGTCATCGATGTCAATGTGAGATATAATCTCCTTTACACAGCCTCCGAAACGCTCTTGGGCTCATTCACAAGAGACATCGAGGCCTGGAAGACCCTCGACGCCAGCACAAGAAAGTCCCAAGACGAACGCAGGGTTCTCGAGCAAATAAAAAAGACAACGAGTCGCCATGCCGGCCACGAAGCCTGCACCTTCGGATTATGGTCAGGGTCTACCGAAGGACACGCTACGTCTAGCCCAGACATCTGCACCTGCAACCTGTGCCGTTGTAACATTACTCAACTCGGACGACTGGATCCTATTGAGTTCAACAAAAGGTATTCGGCTCTGCACGTTGCCTATGCCATGCTTTTCTGCATGTTGCCTAATGTGCGGAGATTGAAATTCTTGGCCCACGAAGACTACTCCCGGGATCCCGACGGTTTCGGCGAAACCTTCCTCAATGAGATAATGGCCAACCTTCTTAAGAATAGCGATACGAGATCGTTAGTTCTCCCAAGACTCAAAATCGCGGCTTTCACCTCAGACAGAACGGACGGGTTTCGACGTGCCTTGCGGAGCGCCTTCTTCCTTCCTTCGCTTCTTACATTGCGTTCGCTGAGGCAGCTTGTTGGGGGCCTCGACGTCAATCCTGGCGCGGTAGGAGTTCGTTCGGACGAACACACCTTTGTACACATGGTTATGTCGTGCGAGAGTATCGACGTTACAGAAAACCTGCTTCAATGCTTCTCCGGAATGAAACATTTGGACATTTCGGGCGTCTATTGTCGAGGTGACAACATTGAATTCTATGCCAACACATTCTTCGATGCTCTTTCTACCAATTGCCCCGTTCTGGAAAGTTTGACATTGCGAGACAGCGAGTTCGAATACAGCTGGCTTGACATGACAGAATGTCTCTCCAGTCCATTACGGCTACCCAAGCTCAAGCACTTGAAGCTCTTCTCAAATTGGGTTGACGAGATACTTATCATCCCTCCATACTCTGACCCGTACGACTTGGGGAACATGCTGCCTTCCAGCATCGAGTATTTCAGCTTTTGTGACGACCGGGAGCGGTACACGGAGCCTCAAAACATCTTGGTCCAGCCACCCTCAACAGCAACACAGCTGGGCACGGAGTTAGCAACATCGTTACGACGCCCTTATACCACTTTCGCCGCTGCGACCTGGCTTAGCGTGGCATCGGCCATTCGGGATGGGCGTTTGAGTAATTTGAAATGCGGTTACTTCGTCAGGCGGGACTTTGGCATTTTACCTGCTCAGATTGACGAGGTTATGGTATTGTGCTCAGGTCGTGACCCGTACTCTCCAAAATGGACAATTGAGGATGAGGACGCGGACTCTCTTTCCTCGGATGGTAACGAAACATGATGGAAAAAGTTATCATTTCTCGATCGATCAGCTAGGAAAGCTACATCAACAGTAGACAGACAACAATATCAGGAAACAGAACGAAGTTGATCGTTCCGAGAAACCCTGATGCTTAAAGCTTCGAGAAGACGCGAGAAAATGCTTGCTCTGTTGACGGCATGTAGAACAGTGGGATGAGGGCGAGGAACCGCATCCGTTGTCGTAAGTCCAAACTTGGACACGAATGCCCTTCTCCGTCAACATGATCTCTCAATCTTGATGGGACATCAAAGGCATTGTGCGAGATGCGTGTCCTTTGTGTACAGAGTGAAGGGGGGCCGCACGCCTTTGTCATTCCCTTTAACAAGGGAACCAAGATAGCTACCTCGCCCCAACCCTTTGTCGCGGGGCTCAGGAAAGAGCGACGACACGGAGGTCGATGTTGAAAGACGTATGGAGATAACGCTGTTAAAACAGGTGACTCTGGACCGACTCCTTCACTCGAAGCAAAGCTTTCCATCGACAAAAGAATTGACATATCGACCAGCACGAGATAAAATGGTACATACAGGTAGGCTTCTGGTATTGGCGCCGCGGAAGACCGTCTTCTGCCTCGAGCACTTCCTCCAAGCATCAGGACAGATACACGCCAGTCTCATCAAGTACCGAGCAAGCGCCCTTACAGAAGTTAGCGAAGCGCCAAGACGTATCGTCAAGCGATGCCACGCCAGCTCCGGACGTGTCAGCAAGCGAGGCCCGCCAGCACCGCCGAGGAGGGTCCAGCCGCGACGAGCTGTGAGGGGCAGAGCCCCTGCCCCTGAGACGCAGGAACCGATATGCTGCCCCACTGCAGTCCACGACCGCGTCGATGCTGCGTCGATGCAATCTCGCGAGGAGACGGGCTGGAAGGTTCGCGGGCTTCGTCAGAATGGCGTCCCCACGATTACGAGCTGCGCATCACCGAAGGCCGTCGTCCAGGAGCTGAGAAGAGCATTGGGACACCTTCGCGCGAGGAGGAGGAACAGCGGCAACGTCGGAACATGCACTTTCGGCGCGGGAGCATGGATATGTGTCTTTTGCGATGCCCAGCAACAGGCATGGCGGGCGTCACAGGAGATGGATGTCACGTCAACGAAGCTCGCCTGCCCGGAGCCAGCTCTCGTGGCAGACATGGGTTGTCAGGAGATGGCGACGCAGACGGCCAGGATGGTTCGGCCTGTGAGACCACGGCAAGGCAAAATAGACGAGCAACGCGTGGTGGCGATCGGTCCACTGCGCTTCGTAGTGGACATTTGCGATGGGGAAGCCAAGACGATGTTCCTGACGTCGGACATTTCTTGATGCCTGTAGGTGGTTGTTAGCGGGAATAGTTGAGCCACATGACGCGAGATGGAGCAAGGAACAGCAGCGCAAATGTGATGAGGTTTTTGGGGACCCCAGGACGCAGAATACGCTGTACATGTACATGTACTGTCTGTGACGGTGTCTGTGACGGTGTCTGTGATGGCGTCTGCGATGGCGTCGGAAGGAATGGGCGCCGATGCAGGTCTCGGACTGGCTATCCTGCTATCCTGCTGGCTGGGTCTGGTCTGGATGACGGTGTTTCAGCAACGGGCGTTTGAACCAGCTCCGTGCCTCGCACCAGTCGAGTCATCGGCTCCGAGTCACAGATCGTCGTGGGATCCATCCAAGTCATCGAACTATAGGGTCCAAGTTGAAGATTCCCCACCCATGCAGAAGATGACAATTGACATGTCAGATGTCGGGCAAGTGAGAGATGGGACGACGTCTGGAGTCGTGACTTCTGGGAGAGAAGGGGTCGGGAGAGAAGGGTCGGGAGAGAACGAGTCGGGACATTTTGGTGAGGGCCAATCTCCCTCTGACGATCTGTTTGGCCAATGGCATCGCGCAATCCGAGGGCAGTTGGCTGGCGAAGGCGAAGGCTGGAGTGGAGTAAATGCCCTCGGACGCGGCCAATCTCGACCTTTCTTTTCCTTCTCTGCACTGTGTCTCTGTCTCCATTCCAGCTCCAGCATCCGCCAACCTGGCAGCATCCGCCAACCTGGGAGAACCTGGAAGAAAAGACGTGCATTCATCCATCATCTATCCATCCATTTCGGGATCGCCGCCGTTTGAAGCCATCAACACTGCCGGTGCCCCGCCACATCCCCGACATGACCAGCGCTGACAAGTTGACGCCAACGACCCCACGACCCCTGAGATACCCGATTTTTCTCAACGATAGCGCTGCGCCGGTGTCGACGGCGCTGCCTAGGCGTTGCCAGTCACAAAGGAATACGCGAAAGAGGGTAGAAGAAAACCAATGGATGCGTCACCCACCCCTGGCCCTGGGGATCGACATGGCTGCCCTACCGATTGGTTCTCTTGGGATGAGACACGGCCGCCACCGCTCGTTTGTCTTGCATCGACGTGACAGGCAAGGCACAGCACAGCACGGTACCCACGCTACCACTCTTTTCGAACCGATGTTGTGTTACGCGACTAGTACAGGAGAGAGACACACCACCTTGTCTTGTCGCCTTGGGCCGTTTTGGCACGTTTGACCGATGCCCTTCGCCCAACAAGGAGGCCCCCAGATTGAGGCGCGGGCGAGGCAGCCCAGGGGTGGTCCAGAACCGCCGATTAATACCCAACTCTCGACGCCCGTTCTGTCTAGCAGGTGTGCCCTCGCGCTCGCCGCCCGTTTTTGCCGCCTGCTGTCACCTCGTTTCGCTGATTCCCTTCTCCCCCCCCATCAGCCGCAGCGACCCCTCTCGATCTGACTTCACCACTCACCCGCCCTGCCGCGTGTGACAGACTCTTGTCGCCTGCTCAACCTGATCCGCTGCAGACCACGGCGACACGACTCGCGGCACTCGACAACACAGCGCAAAACTCGTATTGTGAGCAGCAACGTTGCTCGGTAGCCCGACAACTGCATGGACGACACGACATGACCGAGTAGACAACGAGTCTGCTTCCCTAAACGGTGCCCCGACGGTGACCCGCCGCCATGGACTTTGGCGACGATTCTCGCACCGGCTCCGCGCGAGACGATGGCGATGGCGGCACGCTGAGCAAGCAGCTCGGCAACAATGGCGATTCCGCGTCCTTGGCCTCGCTCATGAGCACCCTCCTACCTGTTCTCATCTACTCAGCCGTATGCCTCATCATATTCTGGTTCTTCCGCAGAAAAGTCCAACGGGTGTACTCGCCGCGGTCCATCATGCACAGTCTGTTTGCAGAGTGAGCTTGAACGACGCTTGCCTCGCCGCTGGATTTCAAAAACTGACTTGGCAACAGGGAGCGAAGTACACCTCTTCCGCAAGGATGGTTCAACTGGCTGAAACCCTTCTGGAAGCAAGGCGACGACTTTGTTCTGAACCATTCATCCTTGGATGCCTTTCTGTTCCTACGATACCTCAAGGTGCTCTCACTCATCTGCTTCTTCGGTTGCTGCATCGTCTGGCCTGTGCTCATGCCTCTGCATGCAACCGGTGGAAATGGCCTGACAGAGCTGGAGCGCGTGACGATCGGCAATGTCAGCGATCCTAACACATTCTTCGCTCATGTTGCCGTTGCATGGGTCTTCTTTGGTACTGTCCTCTGTTGTGCGTACTGATTTGTTCCTTTTCTGACACCGACCAGGCTTCATTCTCTTCACCATCTATCGCGAGTCGATCTACTACATCAACCTTCGCAACGCCTACTTGCTGTCGCCATACTACGCCAACCGACTATCCTCTCGCACCGTTCTTTTCCAGTGTGTACCGCCAGCTTATCGCGATGCTGCACGCCTTCGCAAGGTCTTTGGTGACTCGGTGAAGCATGTTTGGATCCTCCGAGACACTATCGATCTCGAGCACCTCGTCGATGAGCGCACCAAGACCGCCACCCGCCTCGAGAGGGCCGAGATCCAACTCATCAAAATGGCGGATCGCGCAAGAAGGCGCGGTGAGCGCGCCGCACCCGCTCTTCCGGAGCACCTGCTTCCGCCAACCGACTCGCCTCACCATCCCGCGGCAGCCATACCCGTGTCGCTATCCGACGCATCGCGACCCTCCTCACCCTCGACATCCACGACGCCACTCCCAGCTGGCACGCCTTCTGCGCCTCCGTCCCCGAAGCTTTCAGAAGATCCAGAGAAGCACGCAGGCTTCCCTCAAACACTTTCCCGACGTCAATGGCTCTGTTGCCGGGCAATGGATCCCGGCCGACAAGCGACCCCGCCATAGACCCCTCGGGAACTTCCTCCGCAGCGTCGACACCATAAAGTGGACGAGACGCCGCCTCAAGGCGCTTAACCCTGCCATTGCCAAGCTGCGGCGGAAACTTCACCGCGGCACCGAGGGTAGACCATTGGAGTCGGTCTTCATCGAGTTCGCCACACAGTCCGACGCTCAGCGCGCATACCAGACGTTGGCCCACGATAAACCCATGTTCATGTCGCCACGCTTCATCGGCATCCGGCCTGACGAGATCGTCTGGGACTCTCTGCGCATGAACTGGTTCGCTCGCATGGCGCGACGCTTCGCCATGCTGGCGGCGATTGTGGCTGCCATTATCTTTTGGTCCATTCCATCGGCTTTCATCGGAACATTGACCAACATCGAAAAGCTGAGCCAGATGGTCTTCTTCTTGGAATGGATCATGCTACTTCCGAAGGTCGTTCTCGGGGTCATCCAGGGCCTACTGCCTGCCTTGGCGTTGTCGTTGCTGATGGCTATCGTGCCATGGATTTTGAGAGGTAAGCACCGCAATACCGCGAATATTCGCCCTTTTACTCACGCAATCAGGATGTGCTCGCGTCGCTGGCGAACCTTCGCTATCCGATATTGAGCTCTACGTGCAGAGCTTTTACTTCGGCTTCCAGGTGGTCCAGGTCTTCCTCGTCACGACCTTGACGTCGGCCGCGTCCGCAGCCTTCAGCCAAATCCTCAAAGACCCCCTCAGCGCGAAAGACCTACTATCCGAAAACCTCCCGAAAGCGTCCAACTTTTACCTCTCCTACATCCTCATCCAGTGCCTTGCCGTTGGCGCTGGCAACCTTCTTCGCCTCTACGATCTACTTCGCCATGGCATCATGGCGCGCTTTGTCCAGAATCCCCGCGTGAAGTGGCGCGTCTGGAAGAGGGTGCGCCCTGTCCACTGGGGAGGGTGGTTTCCCGTCTTTACCAACATGGGAGTCATCGCCATCAGTTACTCCTGTATCGCACCAGTCGTTCTCGGTTTTGCCTCTGTCGGCATGTACGTCATCTACCTCGTCAGCAAGTACAACCTGCTGTTTGTGGAGGATTCATCCATCGACACCCGTGGTCTTTGCTACCCACGGGCTCTCAAGCATCTGCTGTTTGGCCTCTACCTTTCCGAGATCTGTCTGGTCGGCCTCTTCGTCCTCCGCTCCGCCTTTTACCCTATGATCTTCATGATCATCTTCCTCATCTTCACTGCGCTCTTCCATTACAGCCTGAGCGAGGCCCTAGCCCCTCTGTTGGCCAACCTCCCCCGCACTCTTGCGCTCGAGATCGAGGAGCTCAGCAGGACCGACGACTTCCCTTCGCCTGGTCTGTCCGACGTCGGAGTGGCCGACTCCTCCCCTCACATCTTTGGTCAAGACGGCGACGAAGACGAAGAAGACGACGGTCCGGAACACGTCACTCTCGGCAACCGAGGGGGCTCCAATCCAGGCCTTGAAGGCAGCGCCACGCTCGGCAGGACGTTCGCCAAAGTCTCTTGGAACGCGTACGTCAAGGCCGTCACAGCCCAGCTCCACAAGATCGGCCTCGGGCCGGTCCTCGAGCGCATCGACGCCATTATCAGGCCAGAATACAGCCCAACCCCGAATCCGGTCATGCGGTTCCTGCATCCTTCAACGTTCGACTCGTTCGCGCACCTGCGTGAACTGATCCCCAAGGATCTTCCAGACCCAACATCGACATACCCCGAAGACTACGTCTTCAAGACATATTACCCGCCCGAGATGTGGGAGCCCGCACCGAAGCTGTGGATCCCCAAAGACGAGGGCGGCGTCAGCGCGCAAGAGGTGGAGCATTGCGCACGGTACGGCAAGGTCGAGGCCACGGACGAGGGTGCCTGGCTGCAGGAGGATGGGAAAGTAGGGTGCGAGGTCGAGCAGGCACCATTCTGGGAGGAGAGGGTGCTCTACTGAGAGGCCCGCTTGGATTTCTGCATACCAGAGCGTGATTAAAAGCGATACCTACATAATGAAGTAATCTTGAATCTACCCCAGGCCGTCGTGTGCAATGCGATTCTCATTCTGTCGACTTCCATTTCTTTCCATGGCAAGACACTGTAGTTGCACAATTGCTCGGAAGCAAAACCCCGAATGATCCTCTGCGTCTTGACATCCGGCGACAACGCCTTCAACGCGCCAGCGAGCTCCCTACCGCCGCCTCTAGCTCCTGCTTGGCACAACCCCCAGCGCGTCCATCGAAACAGCACCCTCGTGCTGCCCCCGGTCAGCGCCGTCCGCGGCCCCGTCACACCACACAGGCTCCCCGCTCGGCACCGTCTCCGCCGTCGCCCCACACACATCCGTCCCCGCGGCCCGCGTCAGGAAGGGCGCCCGTCATACCGATCGAGGCCCTTGCCGCTGGGTGATTGGGTTGTCTTCTGCTGTGGCCGCGCGCGCTGAGGCCTCGGCTGCGAGGAGGGACTCGGAGGGCGGGTCGCTGGGGCCAGGGGGGGATGTTGGAGGCTGGAAGGGGCGTGGTGGGAGGCTAGGTCGATATGTTGGTTAGAGCAGAGTGAAGAAGTCTTCCACACGTGGTCCGCACTAAATAGAAGATAGGTCGGGGGTCGTAATATATCTGAATTCTGGCCCTCCGTAGCTTAGAGGGCCCTCCGTAGCCTATATATACGTCTCTCGTAGCCCTTAGTCCCTGACCGACCCCCTGCTCGGCGGCTCCGTAGGGGAACCCGCAGGGTCCCCTAACAGTCGAAGAGTGAGGGCTGCATTGCAGTAACACCCGAAGGCGCAGAGCGCAGCTTGCAGTGCACTCAGGGCAGCACCAAGAGAGTTAACGACAACAAGTTGAAGAATGTAAAGGTATTGGGCTAAGGGCCTGGATTAGGGAAAGCAATTAGATCGGCGAACAATCGGTAAGCTATTGTATTGACTTCAACTTGTCGAGGCTATCGAGTATAGCCTCGACTTCTCCTTTTAAACTTAGGCTTATCGCCGAAGCATCTACGATAACACGAATACGGGTTGGGTTCCTAACGTCCAACTCCTTATATTGCCTCCCCTCCTAGAGGTCTAGTCCCCAGAACTCGTGATGCCTTCGCCAGCGCGTCTTACTGCCCTAGCGTATATTGCTTATAGAGCCTATCCCCTAGCGTAGTTGTAACGTAGAGTTAGGTTAAACGCGTCGCGGGAATCATAATAATAATGCTAGCGTCAGCCTGGAGGTAGGCAGTAATATGGAATAGTCCCTACCGCTGATTTATAGGTAATAGTTCGTCGTGCCTATCTTATAAGGTTCTCTCTATTACGCCTACAACTCTCCTAAATTTCGCCGTCCCTAGCTTCTTTTCGACCGTCGATATTGCTATAACTGTCGTATCCTCGCATCGTCTATTAATCCTACGCCTACCCTTAGTCACCTCGGTCCCTTCTTTCAGTCGCCACCATGTCGGACATTGCTCTCCGCTTCGATGAGGTGTACCCATACAATCCCCAGCTTGCCTGGGCCCACGATCGCCGACTTCCTGACACTGAGGCCGGGAACCCCCCGTGCGAACACTGTTTCGGCAAACTCGCCTCCCAGCCAACAACAGGGCGTAAGAGGCACTCCGCAATTCGACGAGAGGGTGTGGGTTCCAATCCTTTGGGAAAGGCAATGACATGTTCCTGGATTATACATGGTTGGAGTGGCCATGTCCTCTCCCCCAGTTCTCATATATGGATGTATTCTCACTGTTTTGGAGATATCATATGCTGGTTCTTACTCCTTGGTTTGGCTCACCTTATTTTAAGGTAGGTATGACTTGCGCATCCTGGCACTCTTGCTCGAACTCACTAACGCGATTGGTCATTTATTGTTCAGCGTCATACCTCGATGATGCAGCTAGGTAAGATTCTCGAGCTACATGCCAGGCAAACCTTGACAATCACAATCATACCATATGTAAAGGGAAATCCTGCAGTCCCAAACACTGGTCACTACTTTTCGCCATCTCGACCACTCAGGTTCACTACTTTTGTGGGTGGTGAGTCGTAAAATACGTCTTTGCTTACACGACTCATATAACATCCTCTGGTGGCCATCTCGTATTCATGCCCGGAGCGTCAGTCTCACCAGATTGAACAAGGATGATATGGTTCTTTCCCCCTTCAATTGAAGGCACACGACGGCATTAGTTGTTCTCCTTTCACCGTGAGAGCCACTAATGATCTCAAGTTCAATACAAATTTTGTCTGTCCAAACAGCAGTCTTTGTGATTCTGAGTGCGTTCTTTGGCTCGAATCGTTGCATCTTATTGGGGATATGCTTGGGTCTTTGTCATATAGCATGGCATTTGTGCCGTGGTACTGTGTGTTCACTATCGAATTGTCTTGATGGTGTTGTCCATTCTCTCCATACTGATGTCATTTAATTTACAATATCCTCACTAGGTGCCTTGACCTAGTCTCTAGCTTCCTGGAAAACATCCTCGAGATGCCCTAAATCTGTGTCCGACTAACCCGTTAACAATGTCTTGCCGCAAATGCCGAGCGACTTCGCTCATAGGCAGTCTACGCCTACCTGGACTAGATTCGACATGGAGTCCCGAGCAGTCTCTTTGTAACTAGCTGGAGGTCAGGATCTCCTTAGACAGGGTCACTTTTCGGCTCTCTCAAAGTTCATTGCATCCCAACTGACGAGTGGCATCCCACGAGGCAGTGAGTTGTACCCTCAAAGCCGGAGATTTGCGTCCAGTGGGCCGGCGGTCTAATCCTGTGGGTGTCCAGCGGGCCGGCGCTCTGCGTCCTGTGGACCGGTAGTTGGCATCCTGCGCATGGTGTTGTCTCCAGGCGTATAGGTTCCTTCTGATATGATCGTTTCCGCATTCACTCCTCTAGGTACTTTCCCTGCTATAACTGCTCGCGCCTTCCTCTTGAGTGGCTCTTTGATTGGCCCGTGCCTTCGGATTCACATATATAGATCCTTTCTTAAGAGAGGAACTGACCTGCCTTCGTTCATCCACCTGCAACCTCACCACCTCACAACCTCACAACTACTAATCGCCGTCCTCTTTGATCAATCACGAAAGATCAAACACACATCCTATACAAAGCAAATTCTTAACCTCAGATGGCGGATAACCCAACCCCCCGGCGACCTGTCTCCACAGCCAGCCGCACAAATCTGCTTGACGACAATGAGAAGGCGCGTCGCGTCGTTCTCACCAAGTCATACATCCGCGCGGAAGCCACCTACACTCCCACCATGCTACAGCTCATCCACCACCGCATCGAGAACAACGGTTTCCGGCGACTCATCTCCGACAATGCCGTTTACCAGCGCATAATGAACTCTCTCAAGGACAGCAACAGCCCGCAAAATGAGCGACACCCCAACATTGTCGATTTCCTCGCCCTTGAGGCTATGCTGCCCGTGAACTACAATAACACCTACAACCGCTCCCTCTCGGAATGGTACCAGCGCTGCAAGGTCCCCGAATGGGCCGATAACCAGATCCTCGTGGAGAACCACCTCTGCTTCGAGCACGAGATGGCCACAGCCAAGGCTTTTCTTCACAAGCAGCTCGTCCAGAGCAGCGCTCCGGGTCAAGCCAAAGCCGAGCTCGCGGAGACCATCACCGAGGAGATCAACAGCCATTACTGGCGCACCGATCCGAAGGACCACTACTTGGTCAACACCATCATGAACAAGGTCAAAGAGCATCAGAAGCTCACTAAGCGCGAGGCCATCACCGTCGTCGCCATCTACGGCGGCAGCTACCCCGCTCTCCTCCTCAAGCATCTTGTCTACAATCAGGATGGCGAGCACTGTGACCTCGGCGACGTCGCGCTCGCCGTCCGGGAGATCGAGGCCGACAAGGGACTTTACAAGGACATTGAGAACGCCGAACAAACTATCGCCATCCACCAGCTGGCGCTCTCCCATGGAGAGACTCTCGACAAGCGCGGCGATCGTCCACAAGCCAAGAAGTTCCGCAAAGAAGCCGGCCATCTCGAGAGGGAGGCGCACAATGCCCAGTGCTTCCTCAACCGCGTCTACAAAGGTGGCCTCCGGAAGCGCGGCGCCTCGGGCAGGGCCCCCAACATTGGCCATGTCAAGAACAGGAGCAGGGCTGCCGTTGCTGCCGCTGCCGCCGCCAGCGTCCGCACTGCCACTGGGGAGTCTGATGGTGAGAGAGCTCATTCCGAGCGTGCTCATCCCTGCGTTGACATCAAGCAGGAGCATGAGAGTGACCTTCGGGACGAGATGCTTCTTCCCTCCATCGAAATTGATTGATTGAGGCATATTTGAGTTTTTTCAGGGAAGGGGCGTGCATAAGGGAGCTGCTGAAATTAGTCAATAGGAAGTTAGGCATATAGGAGTTTATCTGCAGCTCGGGCAAATGCCCCAATTAGGAGACAATTTAGGCGAAAACACGCCAATAGGAAGTTTAGACGAAGTACTGATATTCGTCCCTTATGCTCTTTCCAGATCCTAAACATGTGACGAGATGTCCACTGCAAACAGCATTGGCGTCCGGTGCTCGCCCCGCTGCTCGTCCGGTGCCGCTCCTGTGGGTCCGGCAGTCATCCCGCCCTGTGGGTCCGGTCCCCGTCCGGTGTCGGGTGCAGTCCTCGTCCTAGACGTGAATGATGCTGCTCACTAGTCATGGACTTTATATTGCAACTTTGGGGCAGCAGTCAAGTGTTTATATTGTATTTGAGGTTGTGCATGAGATTTCTGATAAGCAGCGTATACTCTACTTACACAACTTACACAAAATGGTGAACTAAAATAAACTACTATGCTTGGTAGAGCCTTGGACCTGAGGCTTTGCAATCCTGAAGGCTGAAACTAAATCTAGCTATGCATCGGTAAGTCTATGATGAGCTGGTCGCAAGTCACGTCAATCATTGAAGACATACATCATGGCCTAAGAAACAGGATGTAGATTACTTGCCTCTGGGCAACCAACACAACACAACCTGCTCAAAATGCCTGTAATTCGTCTGATCACAGTCACTGCCAGTTCATTACTTTGGACTGTTTGATTTACGAGTCGCTTGAACAACCATGTTGTAAGAAGTTCAGCAGTCAGAGTCATGGACGGGAGGCGGACAAGCAATGAACTTGCAGAGCCCTCGACTTTGCCAGAGGTGTCCATTTCAGAAGAGCAAATTCGTCTGATATATTAGTCAAAATGGCTTTCCTGACTCCGTGTACTATGCTTAAATGATTAGAGCACCCCAGCCGGGAAATCGAGCTGAAACCCAGAAAGATCCGCAGTGATTGAGATGCGACCGACTTTGGCGAATCATGGATGTTCTTGTGACTGACCAAGCTCACAAACCCTATTCCAAGACATCCCGTGGGTTCCCAGCTATTTTCATGTGACCTACAGTCATCGGCACACTGTTGAAGTCGTAGACCCTGTAAGGGTGAAGCTATGAAATAGTCTAGAATGACTCTGGCGCCTCCAGCAACCCATCGGTCCGAGCCCTATATGAGCTTTAGGATATGATAGAGCGGGGAGTCTTGTCCTTTTATGATTGTTGCTCTATGCTGCAGTCAGGGCTTTCGGGTCTTCGTGGACCCCGAACTCAGCTTACATGTCGATCAGTCCGCTTCACCAATTTTGATCTGCAGAACAGCGGCGCGAGGCGAGAGCACCAGTGTCTAACAAGCAAGAAGCGGGGATCATATCTTGCGTTGTCATATCATGGGTTGGAGCTTATCGACCTTTTCGATCTTGCAATGTCGGTACCCAACTAAGTCTGCCCATCCTGATATCACCAGCATCGTAAGCCTACGTGGCGAAGCAAATCGACTTAAACAGTCCTCCACCTAGATCTTCCCAACTGCGAGAAGGTTGCCAGCACTGCCTCGTCCACATGTAAGCAGCGTGTCCCATCGGTGTCTCCTGGCTGCAACAATGACATATGGATTGGGGTATGTCCTGTGTTATCAGATCATCAAAGCAAGCGCCAAGTGAACCAGGCGAGAAATATAAGGCTTTCGTGACATTTTCAGGTCATGGACTGCGCTTCCGCCTCAGCATGGCTGAGTATACGGAGAACACTGTCCGGTAAATCCAGTTTTGTGGCGAAGATGAAGAGAGATCCTGATGGGCCGAGTCTCACTCAACACCAATGAAGTCTATATCCAATCATCAGGATGCTGTTGGTCAGTGTCATTGACTACTTGGAACGTCATACAACGATGCATGCTCCGGAGTCACACCTTAACGAGAAACCCGAAAAGGCCCGGACAGAATGCTGTGAGCCCCTGAACGAGTGTAACCGCACTGACATCTCCATTCGTAGCCGCAGCCCATTTTTTTGAGGTGTGACAGGCACAGCAAACCGATGGACCACTCCTCGGACCATCGCGAGCGCTCTCGGGTTCTTCCCCACAAAAAGCCGGGTAAGACACCATTCGAGACCTGCCCGAGAAACGCGAAGAACGGCCGTGCATACCGAAACCGAGAACGAGCCAAAACGCTCTGTGATGGGAGGAGGGAGCTTCACTGCGGCGGGACACCCCTGCAGGGGCGCGTAATCACGTCCATGGTCATTGGGAGCGTAATTCCCCGATGTGCCGCCATGACGCGGGATCTGCGATCTTGCAGATCGACGCCTCTGCTAAGTGCCGGTGGTTGAACTCCACTTCTGGGCAATGCTGGTCAAGTGTGACACTGGCATTGCTTTTGGAGCGTTGGTGTCTTCAGAACGCGAGGCTTTCGGGTTCCATTGTGGAATCGTAATCGAACAAGATGTCATAGCAACGGCTGGGCAATGTGAGCACTTGAGGGGAGCGTTGGAGTTGCTATCTAGGAAGAGGACCTTAAGTATCGATGTTCCCCGTCGAATTCATGCCTTGACGTTGTTTGCTCAGCGTCTTTCTCTTGACACTCTCACTACCCAATTGAAATGACCAATATGAAGTTCACCATCCTCTCTTCGTCGCTCGCCGTGGCAATGGTTCATGCCTACCCTCCCTCCTACATGGCCAGTCTGTCCAAAGGAGCAGAGCCAGGTGTATGGGAGCCCGCCGGCCCTGGTGATTGTAAGAAAGCCCGATTCTTTCAACTTGCGAACATAACATTTACAATTCTTAGTCAGAGGCCCATGCCCGATGATGAACACGTTGGCGAACCACAACTTCCTCCCCCACGACGGCCGCAACATTACAAAGGAGAATGCCATCTTCGCGCTCGGCGAGGGTATCGGCTTCGACCGCGGCCTTGCAGCCCTCATGTGGGAGCAGGCCATACACATCAACCCAACACCAAACGCCACCTTCTTCACACTGGACCAACTTAACGTGCACAACATCCTCGAGCACGACGGCAGTCTGACGTGAGTGGTCAGATCTCATGGAGCTGGGAGGATCGAGACAAAGACCTTGTAATGCCTGATAGCTAACCCTCCGATTCAGTCGCACAGATGATTTCCTCGGCAGCAACCACATCTTCAACCAGACCGTGTTTGATGAGACGCGCAGCTACTGGACAGGCGATGTCATTAATGCCACGATGCTCGCCAACAGCAAGATGGCCCGCCAGGTGACCTCGCGCGCCACCAACCCGACATACACGTTCACCGCGACCATGGAGCAGTTCAGCATCGGCGAGGTCGCGGCGCCAATCATTGGGCTGGGCGACATGGAAGCTGCCACTGTCAGCCGCGCGTTCGTCGAGTACTGGATCCGTGAGTATTGCCCGGCGGTGTCTGGGATGTGCGAAGATTGGGGCTGACGTCCTTGGGACAGAGAACGAGAGGCTGCCTTCCGAGCTGGGGTGGGTTAAGAAGAAGGTACCCGTCACGCTGCAGAACATTCTGGCCGTCAATGAGATCATCACCAATGCGACGAGCTTGATTACGACTGGGGAGCCGGTGCCTGGCCCGCCGCGTCCTGTTGATGCGTATCGTCCAAACTTGCACGCGGGTACCTTCTGAGAGAACAAAGCCTTGTGTAGATATGGCCACGAGGCTATGAAATCGGACATTTAATAATACCGCGATGATTTTCCTACAACTACATATGGAATTGTCGTGGACAGTAGCAGGAAATGAAGGAAACAGGAAGAAATCTTGTTTTGAACTAATATGAGCATGAGAATGCGGTCGGCCTTAACAATTCGGAGATCAATCCAGTGTTCCGATTAGTCTAGTGGTTAGGATATCGGCTTGTCACGCCGGGGACCGGGGTTCAATTCCCCGATCGGAAGTTAGCTTTTTGACACTTTTGTCAGATTTGACTGCGATCTCACCCTGACTTGCAAGGTAGCAATCGCGACTGTCTGAATGCTGTGCAGCCATTCCATGGAAGGCTTGCATCGTTTCGTGGTTGCCGCCGGCGTATGACTGTTTTGTGCTGCAAGATGGTGTGGCTTAGACGCGGCAGGCAGGCTGACCTGCTTACGGCTTCGGTACAAAAATCACTTCTCCTACCAACTTTGTATCGCTGGTGATTTAAAGTGCATCGCTCATTCGAACAGGGTTGTGAGCGTTTCCCGACCGTAGCATCATGGCGCCGGCTTGGCAGGACTCGGATGCCCGGATTTGCTACCTCCGTACCATCTGGCAAAATTCAGCAACACCGATACCGTGTCAGCTGCCAACAGCGACGCGAAAGAAAAAGCCAGTATAACGAACAACCTCGAGTGCTGGGTATTCCAAAACAAGCCATCAGCGAAGACCACGAGGGGCAAGCCAGAACCCCGTGCTTGTCGACAGCATTCAGGGCCTCAGGGGTAGGAGGTGGGAGATCAACACAAGGGGGGAGCCCGCCTTAGTCAGCAGGAGCTGGCTGGAGCACGGCCGAGATGCCAGCGTCGCGACTCCTTTTTTCCGCTGATACGCGATACGACTCCAACTGACGACGGAACATCGACCGCCCACGACATTCATTTAGCCACCCATCCCAGAAGCTCCAGCCTCGAGATTGTGCATTAGAACGCCAGGCATCACCGCAGACCTGCCCACCATGACGCGCGCCCAGCAGACCATCTCCCTCGCTCTCCTCGTGGGCTCCGTACGAACCTGCCCCTCCATCTAACATGCCGCTTCCTCACAACTGACACTTACCCGCAGCTCTACCTCGCGCTCTTCCTTGAGCTCGTGCCTCTTCCCTCCATCGTCCAGGAGCAGGTCGTCCCGGTCGTACGTCCCCCGCTCCCACAATGCCTCGGTCCGTCGAGCTATCGCTAACAGCAACCCCCTTGGCAGCTTCCCTTCTGGTTCGTCGTCTCCTTCGGCGCCTACCTCCTCGCCCGCCTGGGCTTCAACGTCATGACCTTCAACGACGTCCCCGAGGCTCACAAGGAGCTCATGGCTGAGATTGATCTCGCCAAGGTGGACCTGCGCGCTCTGGGTGTGGATGTCGACTAAGGGAAGGAAACGAGAAGGAGAACAAGCAAAGGAAGCAATGCCAAAGAAGCAGGCACGGTCCGACTCTTACGGATAGATATCATGTTGAAAGTACCTAGGTAATGGTAAAGAAATGGTACCGGCATTGGAGCCGCTCTGGCGCCGCCTCCGGGTTGATCTGGAGTTTCTGTCGCACCCAAGGATACTTGACACCTTGCAACCTCACCATCTTCAATCGCTCGCTCGCTCACCTCTGCCTTGCCGGCACTGCTATCCAGGCAAAGTAATACACTGCAGTATTCCCAACAAATTGCCAGGCCTGATTTCGCTCGTCCACAATCGTTAACTTTACATTTCCCTTTCAAGGCCGCCTGTCGTTTACCAGAGCAGCCTTACTCGCCATGCCTGCCGAGGGATCAAACGGGGGGCGACTGGAGGTTGCAGCACTTGCATTGAGACCCAAGGCCTCGGATGCTGTGCCGTCGAGCCTGGCGTACACCTTTTACACCGGCCCGTTTCGCAACTTTGCTCTCAATCCGCCGCCTCACGGCGACACAGCACGGGATATCCGCCGTCGGCGGTGGACTACCAAGCGACCTACCAGCAATGCTTTGCTGCCTTTGACCCGGGCCAAACAAGGTGTCGAGAAAAGCAGGAGCGCCCTCCCATCTGCCCGCGCGATAACCGATGCTGTTCCAAAACTTGACGATGCTACCATCAAACGGACTGTTGAAGACGACGAGCAGGTTGTCAACAGCAAACAGGCAGAGGAACGCGAGAAAGATGCTGGCGATGGTAGGGATACCGTTGGAGACTCGAGCTCAGACCTTTCGGACCAAGGACGAAATTTGGACGATGGATGGGATGCCGACCATGACACAGACGTGGACAGCACCTGGAGCGACGAGACTATCGTCTGGGATCGACCATGGTCCCCATCAGAGACCTCGCCGCCCTCGGAGGTAAATCCTGCGCTGTCGCGTGTTGCCTCACGGCGAGGAAGCTGGCCCTGAGCACGACGTGGTATGGTCGACCTGGATCGATTTCATCTGATTAGCACAGAGGAACAGCGTTGCCTTGCGGTACGTGTATAGATAAATAAAGCGTTGCCAAGCAGGAGCATTCTTTACGCATGGTGCATTGCAAATCATGTCACCAATTGCATGATGCATCAATGATTTTCGAACAATGTGCCAAGATGCACTCCCAACAGCTTATCATAATTTCGTAGACCCAGTACCGCATAAACCAACACGTCCTCCCAACGCTCTAATCCAGGCATTGTATCATCGTCCGCCATCGCCCGCCAGCAGCGCAACGACGGTCCGCACAGCATTCATCGGCGTCTCCTCCTTACGTACCATGTCTCCAAACACCTTGTGCAGCCCGTTCAGCGCCTTGCTGTCATCTGCGTTGTGCCCTGTATCTGGTCAGTTATTGAGTTATCCGGCAGAAAGATTGGGTGTACGACGTACACTTCCCTGGCAGCCCAGCCAGCACCCCGACCGTGCTCTGTCCCTCACCGGTCCAATCAAAGTGTATCTTCCACGAGACGCGCAGCCGCGGCCAGTGCGCCTCATCCACCGAATCATCGGGAATGGAAACGTCGAAAGATGTGCGGCCCATGTGGGCGATGAGATCCGTCCTCGACGGCCTCTTCAGCGCGTCGCCCTCGAGGTCTTCGTCCTCGTCATCGCGACGGCGCTTCTTCCTGCGCCGCTGGCGGAGTTCGCGGGCGTTCTCGAGGAGGGTCTGCGGGTCGCTGGTCTCGGCGGCGAGGAGAGCCCAGAAGTGGGCGCGTTGCAGGGCGATGCGGTGCCATTCGGCCATGGACCAGGTGAGGAGGGTCACGTTGCGGTCGGTCGCCGTGTTGGCGGCGCGGTCGCAGAGGGTGGCGATCCAGGGGCCTAGTTCGGGCACGGCGGAGGGATCGAGGGCGGGGACGGAGAGGGAGTCGACGCGGAGGGTGGACGTGTTGGCTACTAGCTCGATCCTGGCGCCGAAGAGACCTGGAGGGCTGGAAGACACGTTGATCGTGTGTTGGCGCAGGAGGGGTGAAGAAGGGTCTTCGCGGGGGAGAATGGCTGTCGTTTGAGATATGGAGAACGGGGTGAAAATTTGGAGATAAGGAAGTTCCTCGGCGGCTGTCATTTGAATCGGGTGGTGAGATATGGGGGTGGACTCGCTTTCTGCGGTCAAGGTCAGGGGAAGAGCTGGAGAGGCAAGGGTGAACCAAGACGTAGGGTCCATGGCGAGGTCAAACAGCGGCTGCGACGCGTCTGGCGCTGGTGCCGTTTGCTCTGCGGGGAGGAGATGTCGGCTGAGCATGTCCAAGAGTTCCTCTTGGTTTGAAGAGCTTTGAGGCTGCTTAGAGCTTCGCCGTGCGCTCTGCTGCATGCGCACCCGCTCCCGCTCATTTCCAGCTGTCGCGAGCTCTAGATCGGCCTGAAGCTGGGCAATCTCTGCTTGCAGCTTGTCCCGTCGCGCTCGCTGCTCGCCATATGGATCAAGCGGTGGCACCCTGCGCGCAAAGTGCGTTCCGGTGCCATCGCCTGGCTTGGCTGCTTCTTCCCCGGCCGCAGCGTCCTCCTCCCCTTCAAATACGAAAGGCACAGCTGCTTTTCCCTGCCTTCTCTTCTTGGACGGTGCTCCCGTGTCAGATGGTCGCATGGGTGGCTGCTTTAATGGCGAGCTCTTCATGCCGCGATCGCTCCTCCGCCTTCCGCTGCGCTTAGACGGCGTGTTGTGGATGCCTGTCGGCGGCGTGGTGACAATTGGGTCCTCGAGTCCCTTTTGTGTCGGTGTCGGCGGAAGCTCTGGCTCTTCTGGCTCTTCTGGTCCCGGTATCTCTGATCCTGTTTGCAACTCGCCCAGTTGACGTGCTTGAGACGACTCCGGGTCTCGTGTTGGGTCCATTGGGTCTGTTGGTTCGTGCGCGGCAGGTTGCGATCCTGGAGGAGGCGTACGATTCAAACCTCGCCTGGCAAACGGATCGAAATCTTCATCTTCGGGATCCGGCGGTGGTAGGGGCCTAGGGTTGGGCTTGACAGGCGATCGTCGCGGCTTGGCGCGGAGTTGTCCCGCACCATTTCGCGGGGGACGACGCGCCGGGCTACCCATCGAAGCCGGCTCTGTGTCCTGGGTTGGAGAATTTTGCTGCTCTGCTCTCTGTGCCAAACGGTCACGAAGGCCGCCGTCTTTAGCTCTAGTTCCTCCTGAGGCGCGTTCACTCTGTGACGGTGGCCTGGGTTCCTGTGCCGTCGTCATGTCGCGATTGCTGAGCTCACTGGGCTCTGCGCCGGGCTCGACTGCTCGGGGCGGGGATGCATCTTCGTTCGTCTGTTGGGTCGAACGACGGCGTAAGATGTCTGGGTTTGTCCTCGCCAGGCTTGCCTTGGTGGGAGAGGCAAAGGACGGCCGACGACGCGCAGGCTGTGATGTAGGGTTCTCGGCGGCTGATGACGAGTTCGCTCTGTCTGCTGTCCGGATGGGAATACTAGTTCGAGGGGAGGTACGGCGGCGCTTCGGCGCGGAGGAATCCTCCATGTTGTTTATGGGTGGTCTGACAGTCGCATGTTATGAGAAGATTCGAGAGCTTCAACTGGACTTGTCGAATAAGTACATTGGTTGGTGTTGTGCTTGTGCCACTCCCCAGACGCGTCGAGGTGGGAGCTGTGCTGACCGCCTGCCGCATTGGGTTCAATGTCAACTCCGTCATGAGCTACGAAGTACGCCGTGGACCTGGAGCGACCACGTCTCAAGCGAACTGGACACAATGTGAACAAGCAGTCAATTGTGCTTTTGCAAGTTCTTTCCAGCTTCTGGATCGATCTGGCATCAAATCATCAAATATTGCTCCATCTGTCCTTGTGAACTGCTCTGTTGTGCTTCGATATGTGCTTAGTCACCACAGCACGTGACTTTACGACGTGAATATCCCGGCGTTCCATGGTGCATCCCGATCCCCGATGACTTTTCTGGATCGTTCACTACCACCAACTTGACCCGCCCCTTCGACTACGCAGCCCTCGGCACTCACGACCATGTCGGTCTCCAGGATCCTCCCCCGTATGCGCTCTTTCATGGCGGCGCGCGCTCCCGCCGCCCGCTTCGCGTCTTCGGCCACCCACACCATCCAGTCCCAGACGCCTCCTGCGCCCATTGTGCCCTCCAACAAGCAGGCTCACCCCATCGGCAACTTCTACCAAGCCATGCTCGACGACCCCCAGCCCATCCCCGGCCAGAAGCCCGAGCAGCCTCCCGCGTCCGCCGCCCCCTCCGCCAAGAAGGAGCCCGCGAAGAAGCGTAAGTCCACCGCCCTCCTCCTCCCCCGTCGCTCCAACCTCCCCCACTTCCCCAGCGCGCGCCGGCTGAACCCTCCCATGCTGAAGCCACAGAACAGGAGGAGCCGCCAGTGCCTAGTCCCCCTCCAGCGACCGCCGAGGAGAAAGCCCGCCTCGTGTTCGGCGAGATCCGTTCCGGTCCTCGAGCCCGCGCCGAACGTCTCGCTGCCGCTCGGGCCAAGACGGTCACAATCGCCGGCGTGCTCGTGCCGCCGCGGCCCGTGGAACCCGACAACTGCTGCATGAGTGGGTGCGTCAACTGCGTGTACGATTTGTTCCAGGAGGAGCTCGAGGAGTGGTCGGCGGCCAAGAAGGAGGCGGACGCGAGGTTGGCGGCACAGCAAGCGGAGGCCCTGGCGGAGACTGAGGCGGAGCAGGCCAGCGGCAGCAGCGCTGGCGGTGGCTCCGGCAGTGTGGACGGCGACGGCCGCGGTTCCGAGCTGAACTGGGTGCCGCAGCCGCCAGAACAGGGACCGGCAAAGCACGCGTGGGACGAGGGCCTGTACGCGGACATTCCGGTCGGGATCCGGGAGTTCATGAAGACGGAGAAGAGGCTCAAGGAGCAGCATAGGCAGCAGGGCACGCTGGGGGGCTGAACGCCCCGACTGTGTCTCTGGCTTTGACGACCTCACTCCGCCCCATGACTCATTGCGTTGATTACTTGTACAGCATCGGCATTCAATACCAAGACTTTCGCAAAAGACTACAGCCTGTCGAGATGATTCTTTTGAACGCCAGGTACACGGTTGTTCGTGATCCCGAGACATCTTCTCGGCTTGTCCCAACTTTCAATTTGCCGTATTGACAAACACGATGACAAGGGGGTTTAGATCAGCCTTTACAACAGCTCTGTGTCTGTCGGGCTCGAACAAAGGGAGAGGGGGTTGTTGCTGCAATCTGCAATCGAGAACAATGTGACCTTCTTGCTTTGGAAACTCGCAATGCAGGTGCGCTTTGGTACATCTCGCCGTCCTACTGGGAAAGAACAGCATCAATGATCAACGCACGGAAGCGTTGTTCAACACGGTCACCAAGGTCATTTAGGGGGAGCACTCCTCACTCCCATAGAACCGTCAATATGTTATTCATCAAACTTGACAGACATAATCACCGCACCTCATCGGATTTAATACCATGCCACACCACACACACTGCTACGAAGATGCAAAAGATAGTCTTCGCGGCTCACCACACAATGCCCTGTCTAAACACAGCCTCAAAACCCTTCGACGTTTATCCTCAGAACCAACCTTCACCGCAACCCTCTCGAGTTTTGATGGGTCCAATACCCTTCCTGTCTCCCCTGACGGCACAGACAAGGGCGATGCCAGAACCCGACACCTTTCGAAGTGTGACGGTCAGAGTGGGAACATCAAAACCATACTCAAAGCACTGAATGAATTGAAAGCCAACCTCGAGATGATGATCAGGCTCTGTCCAGAGCTCGGATTCCAGGTAGTGAGGGGCACCGACAAGGTCCCGGTTCTGGTCTTTCACTGCCTCGGAGCACAGCTGGTCAAGGCCGAGAGTCAGCTGTGGGTGTACAAAGTAAGAAATGAGCAGGTGGGGGTTCAACACAAGATTGACGCCGCTGTTGAGACGGTGAAACAGGCCGGGCGCGTTATCGACAAGTACCAAGCCGCTCGTGAACCCCTTTACAGACGCTGGGAGGTAAGTGGTGGGCAGGGAAAGAGTGAGATCGAGCAGGAGTTTAGAGAGGTCTGTGAAACACTTGCGATGCTTATTGAGGGGCCGAGCCGCGCTCCGGGAGCGCATGAGAAATTATGGTAATAGAGTACGACTTGTTATTCTTTTCACTTAAAACTCGGAATTCCAGTGACTTGCGTGATGCTTGGAAACATGCTTAGGAGGCAGCCTCGCCAGAGCACCTCATGCCAGGAAAGCACAACAGAAGCAAAACAGTATTATCAAATTTCACAATGAAAGATAGTGATCCAGTGTTGAAATATGTGACGATCATCGGCACCATGAAGTCAGCATGCTGCACATCGTAGTTTAGACCACATTGAGGTTAGGTGAATACCTCGCTAGACATGAATGACGAAACGATGGAATGATTGATGACAATCGTTTATTTTGTTGACTACCAGCATTAACCTGGAACCATAGAGACATGGCTTACCTGGGCTCGCAGAGACGATCATCACGATGAAACTCCAATACAATATGCCTGGCCAATCCAGAAGTTGGCCACACAGTCGCGGCTCACTGCTGGATTCCAGTCAAAGAATTGACTCAACGAAATGTCGTTACTCTCAGCGAGTGAGCCACAGGTATCGCCCGTTTCCACAACATCCCACTCGTCGCAATCGCTCGGCTGACCGGTATGCGTTGGCCCTGGTGGTTCCGGCTTAGAAGGGCCGGGCGTCACGGACGACGTCGTGGAGGATGCCACTGTGGACATGTCGCCCATGTCTTCAGAAACGCCGACGCAGTAAGCCTGGCCCAGCCAGAAGTTGGTTGAGCAGTCACGGCCGACGGCCGGGTTCCAGTCGTGAAACTGGTCCCGTGAGATGCCGGCGTCGTCTGCCACTGACTGGCAAGAGTCGCCTGAGGAAACGACATGCCAAGTATCACAGTCTTGAGGCTGACCTGAATGTGTCGGCGCAGGAGGAGTCGGGCCCCCATCGCCGGTGGTTGCAGTCGCCGGCTCAGTCTCAGTGATGGTGCGGACAACCTGCGAATTCCAGGAGCCGCAGTACCTCCCACCAGGTACAAAAGAGCAGGAAGGGTCGGTGACATTGGTACCCAATGCGTTCCAGGCGACGAAGTTGTCGTTGTCGGCGCCATAGTTGCGGGCGGCGAGTTCGCAATTGCTCTTCCAGTACCCAAGCTGGTCTGGAGGAAACTGGTAGTCATCGCCCTTGAAATAGTGCACACAGTCTTCGCGGACTCCTTTGGCCAGCGGCGCAGGGGTGTATGGCCGTGAATAGCCTTTTACGGTCGCATTAGGAAGCATGGTGAAGGGAATGCCGGTGAAAGTCGCATTGGGATCGATTGTGATAGAGACATGTCCAGGGCGGCCAGCGTAGGTGTTGACTACAACGGGCATCAATGATCAGAAGGGGCATATCGAGAAAGAGAAGAGAGAGAGAAGGCTAGGCTTACTGTCTCCCACTGGATGTACACAGTAGCTTTCTTTTGCATACAAGTTGGTGCAGTTGGCATTGATGCCGGGGTTGAGAAAGAGGAAGTCGTCCAGCGAGATGGCGAACTTGAGGATCACCAGATTACAGTAGTCGCCCGCTTCGACGTTGTACCAGCGGCTGCATGGCTTGTTGGACCCCGCGGCGGCGTCTGTTGGCACAGGTGCGGCCGTGGTTGGGACCAGTGGTGGAATATCGGTAGTCCCAGGCAGAGGCAGCCGAGGTCCTGGAGGACTGATGCAGAGCGTGGTACCGTTCATCATGCCAATGTTGGAGCACACAGGATTGATGACCTGGTTCCAGGCCTTGAGCTGGGTTACTGTTATTCCTGCAGAGTTGGCGATAGCGATACATGTCTGGTTGACTCCAACAGTGACGGTATCACACTTGTTAGCAATACAGAGACTGCCTGACGTGGGAAAGTCAGCACAGTATGCGGCGAGGCCATTGTCTGCCAAAAGCCAAGCTGTGGCAACACCCTGGGCCTTGGATATGCTGTAACAATCATCAGTATTTTGGATCGTGTATTGCGTTCCGTCACAAGAATCTTCCGTAGGTTCAGGCTCGCTGATGGAGTAGTCAATAGTTGTGGTGGTGACAGGTTTGCCCGTGATGCCACAGCTCGACGTAAGTCTCTGGTAGAGCGATTCGCTTGCCACGATGGGGCCGTCGAAGTAGGGCGATCCTGCGCGCATACGAAGCCTGGCTGCGATGCAGCTGTCACAGCGACCGGGATCTGTGGTCCCCTCCGGCGCTTCACTGAGATAGTTGAAAGGCGATACTATTTGAGCCGTAAGTACCCCTGCGAGTTACGACAGACGACGTCGCCAAGTGATATTGACCAACCTCCAGGGTCTGTGAAGACAGCAGCCAAGGCCGCAACAGGGCCACAAAACTTATTATTCTCCCGCAGACACGTAAACTCAAATGTGTGCTCGAGTGTGGCCGGAATCACCACTGGCGATGCGAGGAGGTCAAAGTCGGTGGGGACGCTCACATTCTTGCCGCACGCGGACCGGACCGACGATGTCCATGAAGACAATGCTGCGGCGCAGCCCGAGGTACACATACGCTCCAGAGACGCTGGACGGTAAAAGAAATCTGGGCGAAGATCTCGCACGAGGCGGTCACAGGGCACGTCAGCCAGAAGAGCCTTAGAGCAAAGTGACGGGAGGTTGTCGGGCAGACTTTCATTGTAGATCATTGTGAGAGCGGCCGCGGGCTGAAAGCTCAGTAGAGCCCCGAGGCCTGAGACTAGAGAGAGTTGAACCATCATGGTGACGGGATGAAGATTTCTTAGCTAGTGGGTAAAGAAGCAAAGTACAAAAGTCCGTCTGCTGTATGCGTCGTGTGGGAAGTCTGGGAGTTGGAAAGGTCAGTAGTTAAGTGACATGAGTAAACTTGGCGGCATTTACTTCTGCTCAGATCTCCTGCCTCATGGGTTGAGAAACAAAGAATACACTATTCTTGGCGTTTCCGAAACAGATCAACTACCCTAGGTATTCGGGAGTCTCACCAATCACCAGAACAAGGGATGACCAACCCCGCGCCGTGCATCTTGAATGTCTTGCAACTATGTCTGATCTGCTGTCAAAGTACGCCACATCCCATGTCAGACCGGGTGACACCTTCTCAAAATGGATCAAAGATGCGAAGGCGTTGAAACCATGCGCCGTGTGAGCGCCGTAACACGAATCCTGCGAGTCTCTATTCAGCCGGAATCTCACGTCGGCCTCCGTCATCGGCCGGCGCGGAAGGGGAAGCAACTGTTTAGACGGAATTTCTTCGAGATTCTTCAACGTCACTGGTACACGCTGAACCATTTGGGACATACCCGAACGGTCAGCTCGATGACCATTTGCCGTTGTTGGGTGAAGTGACCGGCCTCACCGAGGGCTTCTTTCATCACTGCGTAACCCAAGGAATCCTACCTACCCTGCCAAGTTTCATTTTCGACGAACCATCTGTAGTACTTGCGCAAACTCGCGAATTCATGTCCAAAAGATTTCAGGCCGTGTTAGTGTATGATAATATGACACGATCGCATTTGACGGCGACGCGGCAGCACAATGTGTGGTCCTGTAGAACGCCAAGCGGACAGACAAAACACTCAGAACAACGAGTGAGTAATCGAGATTGGATAGTCTCCTCTACGGTGTTAAGTGGCCGAGGATTCCCGGAATTCCTGAGAATCTCTGACAGGTTGACATTAACCGACTAGTGTGTTTTAGCATTTTCCTCCCATCATCCATATTATTTGAAGTATACGTCTGTTGTGATTTGATTCTTGGCCAAGAAACAGCACCAAGACGGCATGTGGGTACAATATTGGCTTGCCGCGAGGACTTTGCTCCTGTTGATATTGGCTACGACCAGTATCGCGGGAGTTATCAATCCCAATCCTCATGTCGAAGACGTACCACATCAGTCAGGGACCTGCAGAAGCGCCACTCCGTAAATCTCAATGCTCAGGGTACTGAGAATACGCACCCAAAACTCAGGCTTACCGCGCCCATAGGTTTCTGGACTTTTCCGCCAAAATCCGTGGGGACTATGAGCTGCCGGTATGCAGTGTTGTCGATAATCCTGATGACCTTGATCACAAGAATGTAGAGTCCACCAACAGTGTGTCCCCGTTCGAGGAGCAGTCATTGCCATCCCTCTTCGCCAGACAGGTTGTGGGAGGAGACGATTATTCATGTGGCCCCGACCGACCCTGCAAGAACGGCGCATGCTGCCCGAAGAAAACCCTTCAATGTAATTATGGCGAAAAGTATGCCTTCCCAATCCCCTTCTTTTATGCACAGATCAATTCACTAACTTAGAGCCCAGGTACTGTGGAACATCAGGCATTTCGCCCAATGAAGTCTGTTGGTCCAACTGTGATGCTAAAGCAGAATGTGGGAAGAATGCCAAAGTTCCTGGCCAAAAGTGTCTTCTCAACGTCTGCTGTGGAAAGTAAGTGCTGCTTTTTGCGAGGTGCAATTCATCAGCTGACGGCTCTGCGACTTGTAGATGGGGGTTCTGCGGCATGACCGAGTGAGTTGACGAACCTCCCCTTTCCTGTCTCTTGTTGATTGACGCCCGCCGAAGGGACTTTTGCGAAGTCAAGGATAATGGTGCCACCGGTGGCTGCCAGTCCAACTGCAAGCAGCCAGGGCCCAAGCGTAAGGGCTCCAATCAGTTGGATCGCGTTATTGGATATTACGAAGCATGGCGGTATAACTCCGAGTGCCAAGGAATGGTGGGTGATGTCGTTCTTGGAGTTGCGCGTACAGCAAGACCAGATTGAGTGAAAACTGACGAAGTGGCCATACGGCACATAGCCCATGAAAGACATACCCATCAACTCGCTAACCCATCTTTACTTTTCCTTTGCGTTCATCACCCCCAACGAGTACAACATTATTGGGATGGACGGCCTGCCGTCCGAACTCTTCAGCGAATTCACCGACCTGAAAAAAGGCAATCCGAGTCTCAAGATGATCATTGCCATAGGAGGATGGACACATAATGATCCAGGTACGTGCCTTGGATTTCTGCCCTGCGCAGAGACATAAGTTGACAATGGTTACTCAGGCCCCCTCCAGAAGGTATTCAGCGACATGGTCAGCACGAAGAAAAACCGATCGACGTTCATTGAGAACCTGATGGCTTTTCTTCGTCAATATGCGTTTGATGGTGTTGACTTTGACTGGGTATGCACTACCATGCCCGTGGAGCTCGTGATAAAAGTTGGCAGTTGCTGATTCCCATTGAATACAACAGGAATACCCTGGTGCTGACGACAGAGGTGGTGTGCCCGACGACGGCATCAACTTTACCCAGTTCCTCAAGGAGCTGGAAGCAGCAAACAAGAAGCAACCGAAAAGGTATATCGTCTCTTATACTGCTCCGACAAGCTTCTGGTATCTGCGCCACTTTGACCTAAAGTCAATTGAATATGTTGACTTCATCAACGTCATGTCTTATGAGTACGTATAAACCGGCGATGAACACCACGGGGCGAATACTTGGCCAGATCGACTAATCCATGTAGTTTACACGGGGTTTGGGACAGAGACAATCCGATCGGATCTCACATTTACGGACATACAAATCTGACTGAGATGAGCCTGGCGTTTGATTTATTTTGGCGAAACGATGTGTCAGCCGGCAAGTTGAACATGGGTCTTGGGTTCTACGGCCGAGCCTTCCAGCTCGCCGACCCGGCCTGCAATAAACCCGGTTGTGTGTTCAAGGGAGGCGCCAAGAAAGGGGCCTGCAGCGGCGAGTCGGGCATTCTCAGCTATCGCGAGATCATGGAGGTCATTAAGACCAAAAAGCTCAAGCCTGTCCATGACAAAAAGGCCGGCGTCAAGTACATCACCTGGAATACCGACCAGTGGGTGTCGTACGACGACAAGGAGACGTTTAAGCAGAAGAAGGACCTCGCAAAGAAGCTCGGCCTCGGCGGGTTCCTGATCTGGGCCATCGACCAGGACGATGACCAGCTGTCAGCACTCTCGGCCGTGCTCGACCCGAAGCCGCTGGGTGACTTCCGATCCGACAAGGCGGACGACAACTGGACAGGCTCGAATGAGAAGTGCTACGTCTCCAAGTGCGGCAAAGGGTGTAGCCCGGGCGACATCAAGATTACGGAGCAAAAGTGCGACAAGGGCAAGAAGAGCCAGCTCTGCTGCCCGCTCTCGGGCGCCCCCGATCCAAAAGACTGTACATGGCGAGGCGGGCCCAATATCTGCAACGGACGCTGTCACGACGACGAAGTCATGACACATATGAGCAAATGGGGCGGCGGTGCCGACTGCTGGGACGGCAACGCGGCGCATTGCTGTAAGAGCCCTCTCGGCGAGGAGAATTCGTGCTACTGGGGCGGTGTCGCCAAGAAGTGCAAGGCTGGTCATCTGCCGCTGACCTTCTCAGGCACCGTACTCAGCATCCTTGATGATATTGCCGAGGTGATTCTCATGGTCGTCGGCCGCGCCGTTCCCCTTGCAGCGCTCACCGGCCGCGTACTCCTCGAGGTGCTCGATCAGCTGGACCTCGACACAAACAAGCTGTATTGCTGTCCCGAGGATGATGTCGACCGCTGGAAGAATTGCGCCTGGTACGGCAAGCCAGGGAACTGCTTCGACGGCCACTGTCCCGATATGAAGTTTGTGCAGCTCACCGACAGCTATTTCGGCGGCGGCGAGACATGCGGCGGCCAGTTGTCTCGCGTGCGAACCTTCTGCTGCGAGTCGGCCGGCGATCCCCTTTTCCTCCCTGTGCCGCTGGAAAACCTGTTTGAGCACCCGCCAGACGGAGACAGCGTCGACACCGATTTCAGCCTCAAGACGGACGATTCATCAGCTGGCGGCGATGATGACCCTAATGAGGCCGCCTTTCAGTTTGTCGTTCTGGCTTCGCCTGACGAGCTGCAAGTGTCGGTCGACAAGCGCGACGGCTCCCACTGGGATGTCTTTGGTTGCGAAGATGCCGTCACAGAAGGCGAGCATACCGTTAGCATGGTCTGTACCGACTTCTCCGAGAGGAGCAACTGCCACAAGATAGGTCTCGGCCACGGGGTGCCTGGAACCATCCTGCAGATGCCTCCGGGGTGTGGCCCTGGCAAGTACGCCGTCGCGAAGAGCATGGAGCCCGCCGACGGAGAGGACCACGTCAAGCTGCTGCCGCGCCGTCTCGCCCACCTCGCTCCTCGAAAGCCCACGGTCTACTCACTGACGTTTGACTACGACTTTGGCCGTGTCCCGCGCGACCTTGGAAGCACCCAGATGCGCATCGACTTTAGCAATCAGGACGACTACTGGGACACAGTCGTCGCCGGGTCGGTCTCCAAGAAGAAGAGAGACCTCACCAAGCGCACGCTCGCCGACGTGGGCGGCAACCACGTTCGGTGGCTCGAAGAGGAGTTCAGGGACGACTATCACTTTGGCGGGCTCGAGACGCGCGACCTGCACGAACGCTGGTTTGGCACGAGCATCCTGGAGTGGCTCTCGCAGCTTGTCAAGCCTGAGATTAAGCGCGAGTTCATGCACAGATATGATGACACCCTGACAGCCAAGCTCATTGATGAGACGTGGTCCTGTTCCAAGGGCGACATCAGCTACGAAGGCCACTTACTCGCCCAGGCCCTGCTCAAGATCAAGGTCGAGTCCAGCTTTGGCTTTACCCTCATTGTCAACGACCTCAGTCTGCCCCTTGACCTGAGCCAAAGTTACCTCACCTTTTACAACAAGGGCGCCATCACGGGCGTAATCACCCTTGAAGCCGTTGCCAAGGTGTTCTATGAGAAGAAGAGCGTCATATTGAACATTCCCTTCCCCGGCGCCTCGTTTAAGATCCCGGGGATCGCCACCATTGGTCCTCAACTCACGGTAGAGGGCAGCATTGACGCCTCCTTCGCCGTGGCAGGCACTATTGAGACTAAGCTCGAAATTGCCAAGTGGGAGGTATGTTTTCCGTCTCTGTGAGACAGTAATGATGAAGCCTTCATCACTCAAGCTGACGCTCAATGTTTCACGATGGCAGGTCCGACAAGTCGTGCCCGACAACGGCGACGATGCGTACAAGCCCAAGGAGATTGGCAAAGGCGACACGAGCCTCGACCGCACCGGTGACTTCGGAGGCATCAAGAAGCCCGAATTCTACGCCGGCGTCGCCGTTCAGGGCGACGTCACAGCCCGGCTCTCGGCTGCCGCCGAGTTTGGCGTCCGGTTCGCAGACAGGTGGGATGTCGATCCGGCCGCGGCCGCCGTCGTCGGCGAGGCCAGTGTCATGGCCAAGCTGACGGCGGGTGTCTCTACCGATGCCGTCTGCCCCTTCACTTACAGCCTTGACGTCGGTGCTCGTCTGTTTGCCAGAGTCCAGGCGCCCGAGGTCTTTGGTTGGCCCGGTGGCCAGTATGAGCTGACGCCCAAGTGGAACAAGGGCATCATCGAGGCGGGAACCTGTCCTAAGCTGGGCGCTATCCCGTCCAAGAGGGACCTTGATCTCGTTGAATCGGCTGCCAATCTTTCTACGGCCGACAACCCGTCTCTGCAGGGGGACACCAAAGTCGGTGATCACAACAAAGTCGAGCGGCGATCGGGTCCTCTTGCCAAGAGAGGAAGCGTCTACGGCCCGGTACTCAGTCTCCCCGTCGGCAAGTTCTTCTGCCCGCCGTCGAGCGACGACGGCGAGAACGAAAGCAGCTCCTGCCAAGATGTCAAGGCAGCATGGGATCGGGACAAGTACCTCAACGAAGACTACGATGGCATGCGTAGAAGGAAGAGAGAGGTCCCAGAGGACGCTCTTCTTGGCGTCGTCGACGAACAAGATCTGGACGATGTGGAAGGGGAGATCCTGGCGCACCTCGTCGGGAGGTCTGTCAGCAGGAAGCCCATCAAGGCCTGCAGCCTCAAGACGACCTTCAGCTACCCGACAGACGGCTCTCTCGACGGCGACGCCCTCGTCTACGGCTGGGAGCAGCCCGACGTCTGCGGGAGCTACGACTGGGGCGGCCCGCTCGACGCCCGTGTCGCCGGTACGTCCTACCACTCGGAGCACATCCTCGAGGCGCAAATGGTCGTGCAGTTCTTCGCGTACATGGACGAGAAGATGGACTCGGTCGCGAACCCGGACCCGAGCGCCAGCTCCAACAAGAAGGGAATCTCGTTCTGCGAGTACGTCAACGTCATGTTCGACATTGACGCCGTGGCGGCCCCGGGCCTCGACACGGCGCGCGGGTTCGCCGCCACGCTGACGCCGATCAACCACATCGCCGCGCAGTTCCCGACGCACCAGTGGAAGACGGAGGAGTACGTCTCGCTCGGGGCCGTCATCAACACACCCGCCAAGGGGAAGGCCTGGGGCGCGGACGACAACATTATCAACACGTCATCGTGGCTGACGGACAGGCTGCCGACGGCGGCGGGCGCGCGAGCGATGCTCAAGGCAATGCGCTCCCTCGTCGGGTCCCGCGTGTACCACAACGATGGGACCGTATTGGGCATTCTGCGGGCGCAAAAGGCTCGCGTCGGCGCCGTCCTCGACTTGCTCGACAAGACGCTGCTACCGGCGAACCCGCCGCAGGGTTTCACTGCGTGGCCGCAGCAGGGTTACGGATTACGGGCTGAGTGGGACGCGTTCATGAAGGGCGAGTTTCTCCTGATGCAGACCAAGACGATGAAGGTCATTTACGAGTTTATTGGGCCTCTGAAGGAGCAGTGGACGGGCGATGCTGTTAGACAGGCCAACCAAGACCAGCCGGGGGACAGCACGACGGTTCTGGCAACCAAGCAGGGGATCAGGAACCTCATTGATGACATTGAGGCCATGGACGACTACCTGGCGACCATGCCTCCTTGGCAGTCGGCTTTCTGAGTCTTTCCTGGGGAGATGCCTCTGTACAGGGAGGACGTCCTGAAACAGCTGAGGTCGGGTAAAGACAGCGAAGAGATGCAAAGACTGAATGACGGAAATTTAATGCAATGTTACCATTTTGTAACTCATCATGATTGTACCTTGCTCTCTCCCCCACCTGCGTCTCTAAGCAACGCCGTGAGACTTGATCTTTCGTTGTTCCTCAAACGTAAAGTCTAGCCACTCCTGTCGCCCAAGGCCTTCAAACAGGTCCAACACGCTCTGACTTGGTCTCCAGTCACCAATCTGCCACTGAACGACGCCTTCAACAGTGTCCTCGTCGCCACCCTTCGCAGTGAGGTATCGCACGCCCCATCTATGCACGCCGTTCTCAGAATCGTACGGCGCCTCGTCTCCGTACTCTTCGGCCCTGCTGTCAGAGGGACACCACGCCAGGTAGGCAAAGAGCTCGGCGTCCTCGAGAGCGCCCATGTTCTTGACAGCCGAAGCAAAGGCCGACAGCAAGGGCTCGATAGTTTCGGGGCTCGGCTGGGTGCGGAACACGTCGGGGAAGAAATCGACCTCTTCGCCGCCCTCGGGATCCTCGTTCCACTGCTCGTCCACCTCCTCGTCTTCGGTGGTCGTCTGCAGGGGCGGGTAGTGGTCGGCTTTGGAGATGGCGAAGCCCTTGGGGTGGGGACCTTCGCCGCGCGGTCCGACGAAATACCAGCGGCCATCTGGTCGCAGCGGGTGAAACTCGATGGTCAGGCGTCGCAGGTGTGACCACTGCGTCGACGATGGCGCATCAGGGGAGGGGAAGATATGTTCGGTCAGAAAGGCACGGAGGTCGAGCTCCTGCAGCTGGGCTGCCAGCATGCGTAGTCCCACGGACAGGGGGTCCTGCTTGGCTGGTGCTACAAGATCCGGCATGATCAGCGCCTGGTCGTCCTCACAGGCAAGTCCAGGCTGCCAGAACCACAGCCTGGCCTTGGTTAAAGTGGAGGGGACTGGCAGACCCAGAAGCTCTTTCTGCTGCATCACAGCGGCGCCAAACTCGTGACGCGCATCGCGCCAGGGTCCTTCCCAGACGCGTGTGAAGTGGCGCATGGGCCGGCCTGCGGCAGGGAAGGGAAGTCGCTCCCACAACCACGGACAGTCGATCTCTGCCACGCTCGGGAGATGGGCAAGGCATGCGAGGGGAACGTGGAGCGATACAGGTCGGACACGGCTGAAATAGAAGTCCTGGCGAGGCCCGCTCCCTGGCAGAATGCGGAGCTTACGCACAAAGGGCAGGACTGGGAGTGTCTTTGGATCGTGTAGCGTCAGACGGCGAGCGTGGTAGATGAGGTGCTGGCAATGCGGGAAGCGAGTAAAGGACTGGCATCCGACGGTGATTTCGACCTGAACACCCTTTTCCTCGTCCATTTGCGCCAGCCTTGCGTCTGCCAACGAGGCAGCGGGTCTCGCGTGGTAGGCGGCCAACTGTTCGTACAAGGCGTGTAACTGCGCGGAGAAATATGCGCTGACTTCGGTCGTCTCCTCGATAGGCTCACGGCAGGGCAGAGGGTTCTCGTGCGGGTTTTTGAGTAGCGGCATGTCCACATGGAGATGGATGTGGGAGAGCAGGCGGCCATCCTCGGCGTGCTGAGCGGCACTCCTCTGTATCGAAGTTCGAGCGCGGTCATGGACGTCGGGTTCCAGGATGAGGATGGTCATGATGAGTTGAGGAGAGCAGAAGGTCGATCAAGATGGGGAATTTGATGAAGAGATGAAGGAGGATGAAGTGGTTGGAGAGGTTTGTGGATGCAATCTGTGCAATCTGTTCGAATAGGCACCCACCGGCGTTGGCGTTGTCTGGCAGGAAGGAGCATTGCACAAATCCTGGACCCACCGCCGTCCAAGTATCACGACGTTTTCCTCGCCAGTGTACAACATCACACGACCAAGGCAAATACCTGTGGCAGCCCTTTTCCATCGACTTTGGCACACATGTATCGTATGCCTGCTGTGAGACAATCTTCAGCTTCTACCTATGGGAAACATTTTCTCCTGACCCGTTTTGAGGTCGAGACACCCGAATTCTGAGAATCTTGCCTGATACTCTCTCAGTCCCGGATACCTGGAGATGAGTAGAACGAACTGGCGCCATCTGGCACCCCCAAAGCTCGAGCGACAACTGCATCAGATGGCGAGGAGCGGATAAGGGCAGCAAAGGAAAAGCGTTCGGGCCTCGGATGCTACTGGCGATGCGGGACTCGCCAGTGACAGCAAAGAGGACAAATGGCGAGATCAAGCCTGTTTGCTTGCAAGTTGTCATCAGTAAGCAGGAAGCCTCTGCCTGAGCCGTGTCGCCTCTGGCATGAATGTCTGACACACTTTAGAAAGCTGTACTCCTCGCAGTTCGTCCTGAGCTGCCCCCTACCGGGAATGACGCCATTCGACTTGACACCTGAATGGCATCATACAGAAATGATTCTTCACGCACCTGTGATATGGGGAGCGCATGGCTATGCACATTGGTTCACAAACGGCTCAGATCGCGCACTCGAGGTTGGCGGAGAGGTCATATAGGGGAGGGCACAGCACGGCAGTGGCCATTACCAAACATCACTCGATGCTTCGAAGATGCGCGCAAGCTGTGTCAAGCGGTTCTGAAAACAACCGAGGGTACAAGCGACCACTCGGGCTGTGACAGCTTCATACAAAAAGAATCTCCTACACGGCCCTATCACTCCTATGTGGTCGCAGCATCGGCGTTTACGGATTGTAGGGTCCACTGACTCAGGCTACAGCGACTCGTGAGCTTTGGACTTTGGGCACGCCTCACTCTTACGAAAGAGGGTTGAGCGGACGAGGGGAGCCATGCGATACGTCTCCCCTTCGACGCCTCCTTCTCGAAACCCCTAAGCAACGAAGAAGAAGCACGCCAAAGGCCAGACCTGCTGCGGAAAGCGACCGCGCTGGGTGCACCAACCCCGCATATCCTTGACAGAGGCGGCCTAGCTTAAAGGACATGAACCGTGTTAGCGTCGCTGGCGGCCCCCCATTAGCAAAAGCAACAGAGGGGAGGCAACGTCGAGCCAGCCCTGGACCTCGAAACGAGATGCCCTCCCCATACCCCAGATTGCGGGGAAGTCGGAGATAAGCAGGACACTATTGAACCCCCGTGGATGCGACGGGCAGTTCTCGTCCCAGCTGCGCCATGTTATCGCCGAAGCGATGACCCTTCGACAGCCAAGAGCCGGTTCCAGAGCGTGGGGATCGTTGCACATGGTCCCCTCTAGTTTCGTAAGAGGCAACGCGGGGAGGGGAAAAGGGAGGACAAGGCATGGCGTGCGTACGTTGAGACTCGCCAGCTTTTAAGCAGAACAGTTCCACGGGCATCTCCAACGCGTCTCCCTCTTCTCTTTTTCTTTCTCATCCAGGCTCATGTCCGAAGCGAAATCGATCGCTGCCTAGAAGCCTGTCACTCATATCGTCTCACAATGGGCGTGTACACGAAGCTTGCCGATGACATCGATGAGGTCGATGTCATCATTGCCGGAGGTACGCGTGGGCAGTTCTTCATGTCGTCCTCACTTGTAATGGTTTGCCATCGACGAGGTAGCACATACTGACTTTGAAATTCCCACTACAGGAGGCACTGCGGCATGTGTCGTGGCAGGCCGCCTGGCTGAAGCCGACCCGAATCTGTCGATTCTGGTAATTGAAGGCGGCCAGGACAACCGCGGCGTGTCCAATATTGAGAACCCCGCCTTCTTCCTGGACCACCTGCTGCCCACGAGCAAGACTGCCATTTTCTACAAGGGCAACAAATCGGAGAAATGTGCCGGACGCGAGGTCATTGTTCCTTCCGGCGGTGTCCTCGGCGGCGGATCCTCCATCAACTTTATGATGTACACGCGTGCTCAGCGTTCGGATTTCGACTCGTGGAAGAGCCCTGGATGGTCCGCTGATGAGATACTGCCATTTCTCAAGAAGGTGACGTCCCACCCGGTTTCTCGTTAGATTAGAAAGCAAGCTCACACTCTTCGAAAGCTCGAAACATATCACGGCCCGGGCGACAAGAGCCGTCATGGTGACAGCGGCCCCGTGCACATCTCCAGCGGCACGTTCCGCTCCGAGTTCTCGGAGAATGAATTCATCAAGGCCATGGGCGAGGTGGGCTGGCCTGAGATCAAGGACCTCCAGACCCTGGACACCAACAACGGCGTCGAGCGATGGCTCCGCTATGTCAGCCCCGAGGGCAAGCGACAAGATTCTGCCCGCGTCCATCTCCACGACAAGATGGACAATGACAAGTATCCCAACCTCCACATTCTCACCGAATCCAAAGTCGTCCGCGTCCTGCTCGACGACGACAAGCGAGCGGTGGGCGTCGAGTACACGCCGAACCCAGACTTCCAGGCCGTGCTGGAGACGACGAAACATCCCAAGAAGCAGGTCAGGGCGCGCAAGCTCGTCGTCGTCTCCTGCGGCGCCTGCGGCACGCCACCTGTTCTCGAACGGTCTGGCCTCGGCGACCCTGAGATTCTGAAAAGGGCCGGCGTGGACGTCAAGGTCGACCTGCCGGGTGTCGGCCGCGACTACCAAGACCACCAGCTGATTCTGTACCCGTACCTCTCGAGCCTGCAAGAGCACGAGACCATCGACGGCATCCTGCGCAATCCGGACAAGCGGCAGGAGCTCATCGACAAGAAGGACCCCCGCGTTGGCTGGAACGCGATCGACATAGCGTCCAAGCTGCGCCCCTCGGACGACGACGTCGCGGCGCTGGGTCCCGACTTCCAGGACGCCTGGGACAATGACTTTAAGAATGCGCCCGACAGGCCGCTCATGCTGATGGGCCTCGTTTCATGGTGAGTTCGCGAACCATTTTTTTCACTTTTGCCGTGCCCCTCGCTCACCGCAGAACAAAGCTTCCTCGGCGATCCGGCGAGCGTGCCCGAGGCCGGCTACGTCACGGTCGGCACGTACACGGCGTACCCGTACTCGCGCGGCCACATGCACATCACGGGCCCCGACGTCTCCGACGCGCTCGACTTTGACCCGGGCTACCTCAGCGACGCCCGCGGCATCGACCTGAAGAAACAGCTCTGGGCCTACAAGAAGCAGCGCGAGATCATGCGCCGCACGGCCATGTTCCGCGGCGAGCTCGCGGCCGGACACCCCGCGTTCGCCGAGGGGTCTGCTGCCGCCTGCGCGGCGGTCGAGGGCGCCCTCGGCGACGTCAAGGACATTGAGTACTCGGCCGACGACGACCGGGCGATCGAGCAGTGGATTCGCGAGAATGTCGGCACGACGTGGCACTCGCTTGCCACGGCCAAGATGGCGCCGCGGGAGGAGAACGGCGTTGTGGACCAGGACCTGAATGTCTGGGGGACCAAGGGGCTCAAGATTGCCGACCTGAGCATCCCGCCCGCGAACGTCGGCGCCAACACCAACAACACGGCGCTGGTCGTCGGTGAAAAGGCGGCCGACATCATCATCAGGGAGCTGGGACTCAGCGCGTGAGTGGGTATAGGCCAAGGGGGTGTATCAGTAATAGTCCGGTAGTTTTAGTCTTGCGCACGGGAGTGCTTTCAATGTAGCGTCACGAATCACTTGTTTCAAAGCACGTTGTACGGCGGCCTCGCTTGTCCACCAGTTGAAATTCCTTGCATGTCATGTATTCATGGTTCGTCGGCAGGGTACGCAACGTATGCATGCCCCGCCGTCAACCTCAGCCAGGAGAGGGCGTGCCTCGCACTGAATAACAGGCACTCTCCTCGCCCCCCAAATTGGTATCGCCTTCCCCCCTCCCCTAAGCAACGATAGCCCCCCCCCAAAGACCGGTGTCGTCCCCATCCATCCCTCCCCCAAAGCCCGCAAAGCTTTATTTCGCCTGCTTGCTGAGGGCGCTGGCGGCCTGGCGGTCGTGCTCGTCAATGTCCTCGGCCTCCCAGGGGTAGTTGATCCAGGCGTCGCCGACGGTGCGGGCGGCGAGGTAGCGGCCGTTGTCGAGCATCTCGGCGGGCAGGGTGCCTTTCTTCTGCTTGTCCTTGTTGTGGAGCACAAAGATGCTGAACTGGGTCTTCTCGTCGGTGCCGAGGCGGCGGCGCGCGGCCTCGACGTCCTTCTCGAGCTCCTTGACGGCGTACTCGAGCGTCGTGCGCGTGTCGTCGACCTCGTCGACGATGAGCACGCGCTTGCCCACGAGGTTCTCCATCTCGCCGAGGGCCGTCAGGTCGAGCCACTGCGTGCGCGTCACGCGCGTGCCGGGCACCTCGGGCACGCCGGGCGTCTCGGTGCCGGCCAGGGTTTCGGGCAGCGACTCGTACAGGGAGAGGCCGATGGCCTGGATGGGGATGTTGGGGCTGCCGGGCTGGCGGAGGAAGGAGCGCAGGATGCGGGCGGGGACGTAGCCGCCGCCGCCAATGGCGATCATGAGATGGGGCTTGAAGTTGGCGAGGATCTCGGCAGCCGACTCCTGGCAGAGCTTGTGCACCTGTTTTCCTCGTGTCAGCCGGGGCTGTCTGTTCAGGGGTGAGGATGGAAAGCATCCCCGAGGTTCAACAGGACGCGGGTTGCTGCATAAGCACTGTCGCACAAGAGAGGGTGAGGGGCAGCACATACGTCGTTGTAGGTGACGTAGATCTTCTCGATTTCGGCCATCTTGATGGTGTTGGTGGTGTACGAGGCGTACGAGCTACGGTGTTGAGGGTATCGCGGAAGGGGAGGAAGGCTGAAGCAAGGAGGCAGAAAAAATGTGGATGGAAATCACCAGAGGAAAAGGAGAAGAAGAGAAAAGAAGAAGGCTGCCAGAATCGTGATCACCATGTCACCCCGCCTGCCCGCCTCGATCGAAGTTTTTTTTCCCAACTGCCCCGCGCTAGGCTGCGCGACACCCAAAATGCCCCTCCAACGTGGTGCACATGCATCGGAATCCGCCGATGGCTGCGGAAGCACGTGATGCCCTTCCAGCGGAGTGTCCGCTGTAGATGCACCAAGGAAGCGCTGTCCGCTGTAACTGCACCAAGGAAGCGCTGTAATGCTGCGCTGGAGAGGGGTTTCTGACGTCATAGTAGCCACCAAGCACTGCATCCATCACTCAAATCACACGCAATTGAGGACTGTGTTCAACAATACTGCGCTGGAATCTATCAGTAAAGCTAAAAACTAACTGCAAGAACGCTTGTCAAGCAAGGCAACATCTTGGGCGTCATATCTCCCCGACATCCACCTTATCTTGTCCCGACTTAAATCCCAGGCGATGGGCTCTCCGCATGGGCGGCTTGACCCTCGTTCTTGGCATCTTTTTCATCTGCGGGACAATCCGGCGACGCCTCGACGTGTAGTGCCCTGGGCGCCTTTCCGCTGTCGTTCAACTTCATGATCTCCCTGAGCCTCACTGGCAGCTTTGTTCTTTCGTAGGAGGTGCGCGCTCTATCATTCAGCCATGCATGGAATGGCGGCCTTCGAGCCATGAAGAAACCTGGCTCCGGACACGCCGGTGGCCCTGCCGTGCGCATGCGCCAGAATCGATAAACAGTCGAATCCACGGTGATCTGTAGTGGACTTTTGATACGAGGAACGTCGACGTTGACATGGCCAGCGTCGTCCTCTGCTGCCTCTGATTGTTCAGGGCTGTCTGTTGCTGTCGGGCATTCTGTCGCCTTTGATGCGTGAGCCGCGTTGGCCGCAATGACCTACTCGCGGGTGCGCTTCATTTTGACGGTCCAGGTCGGGGACTCGAAGTTGGCTTCGGCGTATGCCTTGATGAAGGCCAGAGTGCCGATGTAGTATGAGCCGGTGCTACGTGGTGATGGATCCATGTTGTCGACGATAATGTGCGGACACGATTCGTAGGAGATTTTGAGGATGGTTCAGGGATATCAATATCCTGATGAAGTAGCGAATATCGGCTGCACTGGATGGCTCAATGATGGTGCAAAGTTATCGTGGGCCAGGTAGGTGAGGCCTTATGTAGACACTCGTCGGCGTGGTCGGTTACACTCTGATGGGCTGGGGAAAGTGCGCCTGCTGTGCACCTGCTGTGGTCACAATTTGCTGTGGCCAAGGGTCCATCACCTCATCGCCCCTGACCTCCATCATTGCAGGGAATGGACATGATGGTCATGCTTTCTCATCATCCATGCCCGGCATTTGCAGTGAACCCCAGCAGGTCCAAAATGCAGTGAACGACCACACCCCTGAAAAGAAGACTCCGAAGAAGCTGCATCGCATTTCCCCCAGACAAGGCATAGCAACGAACCTAGCTCTATTTCCAATATCTGTCGTCTTCGGTCCAGAATGCCTTCGTGCATCTCATACCGTCTAGAGCCAACAGTAGGTTCAACACCAAGCCGTGAAGCATCCGAAGACAGCCAAAGCAACCAGGTGTAATTGCAGTCCAATGGAAGCATTGAACCGGACGCCGGACGTTCATTCTTGGAACAGTATGGAGTGCTGAAAACTGACTGACAAGAGGCCTGACAGACGAGGACCTACGATCGAGCTTGCCGAAAGACACTAGACTCATACGACCCGAGCCAAAACCACGGCCACACGCTTCAAGCAACAGAGGGCGGCGTAAGATCCGACACCGCGTGCGAGAACCGAAGAATGACGCCGAGCCGACATCACATAGCCGTCTGTCGAGGTTCCGATCACAGATCATCGAAACGACAGAAGACGACCAAGTTGATGACACATGAAAAAACCCATGATGTTGCTTCATTGCGGAACTACCATCAGGCAATGTCGATGGGGCTGAAATGGGTCGGCACCGCGTCGCCCCAGAACCTTGCCGTCCCAATTGACGAAGCGACCCAGAGCCTCGGAACCCATCCCACGTGTTGATGCGACGCCATCTGCCCCAGAGGTGACCTGACTTGAAGGGGAGCGGAAGCCATTTATTCGGGGGTTGGCCGTCAGGTGTTCTTCCTGTCCCGAGACCACCATTCCAGATGCCGCCGTCGTCGTCTGCTAGCGCGGCGCCGATGTTTTGACCAAAAGCCCTGCAGCCGCCTGCTTCCTCTTGACCCAATCGCGACGTCTGCTCGCGACGGTCGGCTCGCTTCTCGGCTCCGATCGCCTTACAGGAGGGAACGAGACGGGGCCAGCGTCGTGCACATGGTGGGGGTTCGGCCCTCAGAACACCGGGGCACCGAGTCAAGCGGCGCGGCAGCACCAGGTTCATGCCAAGTTTGTCGCCTTTGGCCTCCCTGTGGGCGTGGGACAATCTTCCCACCAACGACGTCGGCATCGGCTTTGCAGTATGGAGCATGACTCTATCCCCAGATCAGCCTCCGCCTTGCCCACTTGGACGAGCCCGATGCACGTCCCCCTCACTCCCCGGAGCTCCACGATCCATCAACCATCCCCCATTGTCACCCCCTCGCCTCTCAAACCACCCCTGTCGGTCGCCGTCGCAGTGCTCGCGCGCCGCTCGCCTGACAAGACACATTGACGACGTGGGTTGGCAGTTCCCCAGACTTTCCCTAATTCTTTATGATCGCCTTCGGGTGGGGTTCGGGAGGATAAGTATCCCAGGACAACCTCACCACCAGTCTTGTTTTCTTGGGATTCCTCTTCACTCCTCTCGTCATTAGCAATTACGACATCGAACGGGACAGTCATCTCTCGGAGGTCTCCAGCCGAGAATATCCAGTCGACATCATCGTCAGAGCATTGCGGATAAACGCCAGCTCCACAACCGCTTTTCCGTCAACGAAGCGACCATGGGTGGTCTCAAAGCTGTCGAGGATCGGCCGACGCCGAAGGAGGTCTACAATTGGCGTCTGTACACAGAGGCGTCCATTATTGCCATGGGCTCGTTGCTGTATGTGACGGCTGTCTTTCGAACAGTGACCGCCAGATACTGACGCGACTGCAGGTTCGGCTATGACTCCGCCTTTATTGGCACGACCATTGCCCGCGCCGGCTTCAAGGACGACTTTGGCATCACAGACGCCAACAAGTCCGGCATCAGCTCGAACATTACGTCTGCATTCCAAGCGGGTGCCCTCGGTGGTGCCTTGATGTGCTTCTTCAGTAGGCTGATCCACTCTATACTTTCGAACTGTCACTAATGTTGCAGTTACCGAGTATATCGGCCGTAAGTGGGCGCTCATCATCGCCAACCTTGTCTTTATTGCTGGCGCTGTCCCGATGGTCGCCGCTACCACCGACTTGGCCAATATCTATGCTGGCCGTGCTCTTACCGGCTGGGGTTGCGGCGTTATCACTGCTACAGTCCCATCCTATATTGCCGAGCTCTCTATCTCTTCAATCCGCGGTATCCTCACAGGCCTTTTCGAAGTTACATATCAGACAGGATCCCTCGTCGGCTTCTGGATTAACTACGGCGTCAACCAGAACATGGACCCAAACAGCCGCGCAGCTTGGCGCGTTCCTATGGCCGTTCAGCTCATCCCCGCCGGCTTCCTTCTTGTTGGAGGCTTCTTCCTACACGAGTCCCCGCTGTGGCTCTTCAAGAAGGGCCGTATCGCCGAAGCCGAGAAGGCCCTCGTAGCCCTGCGCCACCTCCCCATGGACCACCAATACATGCAGGAAGAGGTTGCTATCATCAACACCCGTCTCTCCGAAGAAGCTGATGTTGCTGCGAAGTATGGTACTGGCTTCTGGGCCTATATCCGCGGCTGCCTGGCCGAACTAAGCCGCAAGGGCATGTGGAACCGTCTACTGCTCGTTTTCTGCTCCTTCTCGCTTCAGAACATGTCGGGCGCAGCAGCCATCAACTACTACTCGCCCATGCTGTTCGGGTCTATTGGTATCAAGGACGTCGCTCTATACACTGGTATCTATGGCCTTGTTAAGGCTGTCGCGTCGATCATCTTCTATGGAGCTCTTATCGACATTTGGGGACGTCGCAATCCCACGATCATCTCCTCGCTCGCCTGTTCGCTCTGCCTGTGGTTCGTCGGCGCCTACGTCAAGGTTGGCAACCCTGCGCCGATTATCGCGGCCGGCAATGAGCTCTCTGCGTCGAACGCCGCTGGTGGAAAGGCCGCTACAGCTGCCATCATGATCTACTCTGTGTTGTAAGTGGTCTGGAGCCTCTATCTTATTGTTGTATCATCTAACCTCTTTTCAGCTGGTCTTTCGGTTTGAACGGTATCCCCTGGATTGTGTCCGCCGAAATCTTCCCCGGTGCGCTGCGCAACCTGACCGGAACTTTCGCCGCCTTCACTCAGTGGATGATTCAGTTCATCATCACCAAGGCACTTCCGTACATCTTTGAGTCGCTCGACTTTGGCGTCTGGTTCTTCTTTGCCTGCTGGATGCTTACCGCCACTCTCTGGGCGTACTTCTTCCTGCCCGAGACCAAGGGCGTCACCCTCGAGCAGATGGACGTGCTGTTTGGGTACGAGGGTGATCGTCGGGCCCAGGGCATTGTGCAGACACCGCTGGCCAAGGAGGATGCGGTCAGCATTGAGGAGGGAGTTGGCAAGCCTGGAATGACAGACCACACCGAGAGGGCTTGATGGTTGTTTTAGAGGCCACCAGGAGGAATAGGTACTGGGATGCACAGTATGGAGTGCTTCGGCAGTATCGTCCAATCAAGTAATTATTGAGAGTTTGTTGAATCGTGTGTTCGCGGATTTTTCGAGTGTAGTTTTATGTCGTGAATCAAGACACCTTTCGTTTCGACATGACCAGGCTGCACTAGCAAATAGGTATCTTGATGCAGTTCCTACTTTCATAGAGAATCAAGAACTCGTTCTCGGAAATCAGAACTTGACCTCTCAGATCCTGTCACGGGGGTCAGGTTAAGTCACGGCTTCAACAGGCCGCGGTACCAGAGAGCGACGAGCTCCGTGTCGGGCTTTCCAATGCCAGGCGTGCTCTGCAGGTTCGATTTCCAAATCGCAAGATCTGCACTCCTTCGCAAAGGAAAGATGTCATCAAGTCATGAATCACAGGAATTCTACTTCAATTTAACAGATGACTTCTTCGGAGCTCGGCCATTTAGTTTCCACACCCGACGTCAGGCTCGTCGTTTTCCTAACCACACAGATCACCATAAACGAGCAGCTAGTCCAGTCTTCCAATTCCAGCAATGCCATTGATCTACAGCATCCAGTCCTACTCTATCCAATCTACGCAATCACCCTCTTGCCGAGCTTCTCCTCCTCAACAGCCAACGCGCCGACAACGTCCCGGATCCAAGCCTGCTTCTTCGCGTCCTCGTACCGCGGGTACGGCCGCCGGCAGTGCGCCCTCTCGGGGCCATACCCCCGCAGTGCGGCGACGACCCATTTCGTGCCGTTGATGCCGCCCTTGGCGAACCCCCACTCGGCCCTGGCCAGCGCGAGCTGCAGGCGCGTGGCCTCGGCCGTGTCGCCGGCGACGTAGCGGTCGTAGACGGCGGCGCAGGCGCGGGGGTACAGGTTCGCGACGCCCGTGACGACGCCTGTGGCGCCGACGCTGAGGCCCGGCACGAGCCAGTCGGACTGGCCGGTGAGGGCGAAGAAGTCGGTCGGGGCAAACTCGGCGGCGATGCGCGACACCTTGGCGATGCCGCCGCAGGTGAGCTTGCAGCCGACTATGTTGGGGTGGGCGCCGAGGCGGGAAAACATGTCCGAGTTGACGTCGAGGCCGGCGACGACGCCGGGGAAGTTGTAGATCATGATAGGGAGGGGCGAGGCCGTGGCGAGCTGGATGCGTCAGCGCGTGCTTCTTTTGCCACATGACACGCTTCGGGTGCGCCCATGCGCGCTCGCCGGCAAGAGTCGCGGACAACAGAAGTCTTACCTCTTCAAAGAAGGCGCAGATGGCGTCGGCGTCCATGGCAAAGTGGAAGTAGCTC